TATGCCAATAACAGGAAACTTGAACTGTAAATTGACTTATACTTAACTACCTGGTTGCACAGGAGATTGGAATAAGGAAAACCCTCATCAGTCAGACCAAGGCATGGGAAAGCATCTTGGGACCAGCACTGTCAGCCTGTGTTAATGTTAAATAAAGTTTGTTTAAAACTCTTCCCCAGATGGTGTTTGATCCAAGTGAAAATGGACTATGTGCACATCAATTTTGCTAGGTCTTGTCAGCAGGGTTGCTCCATGCCAGCCTTGTTGCGTGGCAAGCCAGCAGCAACCATCACACCAGGTCAATAATTCCCAGCAGAATCAGGAATGAATGATCAAGGATGAGGAAACACTGTCCTTTCTAGGCAGCAGAAAGTGAGGCAGCCACACGAGTTGGTGCAGCATTGGGAGGGGGCAATTCTCCTAGGGCGAGAACTTTATCAGAAGAGACTGTGAGAAGTTACTTGACTACCAATCTTCCTTGCGACTGCTTATCATGTCCTCTTATTTTATTATTCTAAGGAAAAGGGGTGCATCCTGGTAGCTGCAGTGCTTGTTTGTGCTTAAAAAATATTCTGCTCTAATTGTTCTGAGAAGAAAGGAAGAGCAGGTGCAGTAGAAGAGGAGACGAAATGTTGTGTTAGTCGTGCCTGTCGTGTCCTCTTCACCTGCATAAGCTAGACTCTACATATCAAAGATCTACCCTGACATTGTTTTTACCAGGTATACACCTAGTTTTACTTAGTTCCCTCCAGATGTTTTGAACTAAAACTCTCAAACAAGATCGTCTTTAAGTTCCATCACCTACATTTTCCTAGCATGTCTTCCATCCTTTTTTCTTTAAATTGGATTTTTTAAAAATAAAATGCTTTTTGAAACTACCTAAAATAGTTTCTTATTTAAGATATAGTCCAAAGGATATTCATTATGAAATAAGGATTAGCTTTTAATTATGTAGCATTATGCTATATATTCTTGCAGTGTTTAAATGTGTTGGTAAATGAATTCCATTAATCCATTCATAATGTCATTCTCTTCCAGAAGTTTCTGTAAGATTATTGGGCAATTTTTCTAGCTTGAAGGTATTATTACAGATGCTTGGTTTTACAGTTCTCAAAACTGTGAATTTGTGTCTCCAGAGATCACATGCCTTTTCTTCACAACAAGAATGTTATAACATAAATAAACAGAGCTGAGAAAAAGACCTCAATCGCATTGTTCCTTTGCAAATAAATCTATGTACATGGAATCAATCCCTTACCTCTTAAGCACTAAGTTTCAGAAAGTTCAATGACTAGAAGAAGGCTGTTGGGAGCGGAACAGATCTGGACAAGGAGGGAGTGGGAAGAGGCAAGCAATAAAAATGAAAATGAGACCTTTTGAGTAGAGTACTCCATGTGTTTGGATCTTTTTGTGTACAGCCTGAGGTTTATCACATTATTCTCTCCCTGGAGAAAAAACTTATAACAGCGACAGGCTGTAAAAGAGACCCAGTTTGGGAATATTTTAGTGAAGTTCCTCTGCTTATGGGTAAGGCAAGCATGCATGCAAATTATATAACGCTATGAACTGAACAATACAGCATAGTGCATTACTTGCCATTTTGTACACCCAAACTGATCAAGATGGTGGTACACAGGTGGCTGTTGAATACATAGCAGATGCTAAAGTCTTTTAAACTGTAAATAACCTTTTGTGGAATAATTGGCAGTATCCAATTATGTCATTCTACCAAATGAATTCACTCTCGCACCATGCCTCTCAAACTGTTGGTTACACAAGTGGAACTAAGCCATGGTAGTGGAGCTTGTACAAGCACAGCGCATTCTCCCAATGTACCCAATACTACATAGGCTACCTAAAGGACCACCTTCTTCTATATATACCTGCACTGAGATCAGAGCAGGAGATCCTCCTAAAGCAGTCATCATTCAAAGGGGTGAGAAGGATGGCAAATTAGAAGGACCTTCTGGGTGGCTGCCTCCACTTGTGGAATTAGGTCCGTTGAGAAATTTGCCCAGTGATAACATTACTCTCTTTCCAATACCAGGCAAAAACATTTCTCTTTTCTAGGCATTTAACAATACATTTTAACAACTAACTTTAATGTTTGTAATAATTTATCATCTTATGGTTGTTCCTTCCAGTGGATTTAGTGGGTTTACTGTAATGATTTTTAATTGCTGTTTTTATGATAGCTGATTGTTTTTATTATTGTATGCTTATAAGATTGATTGTTCTTGTTAGTTTGTTTTAATGGTTCTGTAATTTTAAGTGTTGCAGGGAGTAGTGGGTGGCATACAAATGTCAAAATAAAATAAAATGAAGTAAGTAAACACAGACCAGTGGGACCTGCAACATGGGGCTTGCACAAGCAGATCACAATGCACTGGCCAGCAATGCTCCTGTAGGGTTGGCACAGGCAGTAGAGTACCAGTGGGGCTTGCACGATCAGAACCAAAATCCATTAGAGTGTGTGCGTGTGTGTGCAGTCTCCATCTGTGCAGCATCACTTAATTGCACTGTTGGATATTGCCCCCATTTTGTGTTACTTTAACCCAAAGGAGATACACCCTTTTAGTTTTGAAATCAGTGAAGTTCAGATGAGTAGTAAAAGAATACAACATAAAGCAGAAAGATCAGAACCTTCTGCCATGTGTAATGGTGACTGCAGAGGACTGGGATGGAGGAAGACTTCCTTGGGCTTTGATAAAGTAACAAAGAAGTTAAAAAAAATGTGGCCTTTATTTTTACTCCTGAAAAGTTAGAGGGAATGAATTAGCAGAAAAGTTTGGGCAAGTTTGAAAAACAGGATGTGAATAAGCAAGCCTAGCAATAGTTTAAGGGACTAGGAGATGTTTTGCTGGTGCTGACTTCAGTAAAGTGAATGATGCTTCTAGAGATAAAATACTTTGAAAACACAGTACACCAAAAGGAAAGGCACATTTTATGCCATCTGCTGCAGCAAGAGAATTTTGCAGACAAATCTTTCTTTTCTCTTTCTAACCCAGATTTCCATAGATGGTTTCTGTATGCCATAGCATCTTTGGTCTCTCCTTTCCAGGGGAAAAAAATGCAAGCGGTAGCATTCTTGTGGCGAAAGCGCCTGCTGCTTCATCAGCAGAATGGTTTATAGCTATAGCATCCAGGAAGATAAGTGTTATGCTTCCTCCTATGAGATAGGTGTTCAAACAGTTAGAGTTTCTGCAAGAGAACCGAATTGTGGCTGTTTCATCAACATCTCACTGGGTTCAAATGCAAATGTAATTAGCAACGCAGCATATTTGCCATAGACAAAAACTGCCTGAACAGTTCCTTAAAAGGCATAGAGCTATCACATTACTTTACCATCTATTTTGGGTATGGGTTCAGGCTATACCCACCCATTTGGTTGCAAAAGACTTAAGATAAGTGCTTAGTTATTGCCTCTGAAATGAAATATATAAATGGGGCAAAAAAGGAAAATACATCTGAAAACTGACTAGTTACTTTCAAGCATTTCTACACCCCAATGCTTTGTAATGTTTACCAAGCTCACAACATTTCTGTGAAGCATTCTATTCTATTTTTATTTCAAGAAGGGAAAGCAGAATCATGAGACTGCTGTCATATATACATTGGGCGTAAAACCTATTGAAAATCAGAATGGGTTGTCTTAGGCTGCACAAGCACGCATCTATTCGATTTCTATGTGGTCACAGACATTTTAAGAGTCTCCTGGGCCTTGCAAGAAGTGGCAACTTCGTCCTAGGCTTCTAACACGCTGTGGTGCACTTTCGCTTTAGAAGTCGGGCTTTACTTCATGCACCTGCTCAGAAAGGCTTTCAGCAGAAGTCCGTCTGTTATCGTGGTACTACGACTCCCCTTCTTTTCTCACCTTTGCCTGGGGCTGATGGGAGTTGCACTCCAGCTAAATCCGAAAGGGCCAGCAAATTCGCCCTCTACAGCCAACGACCAGAAGGAATGCTGGGAAACGTAGTCAACGCGGTGCTGGCGGCAGAGAACGCTGGGAACTGTAGTTCGAGCCTTTCCCCGCCGTTTGATGAAGACGGAGTTCCTCACCGAGCCCGCGCGAAGGCGGCGCCGGTCCCGGGGGACGTGTCGCCGCGGCCTCACGTTCGCGCCCAGAGAGCCGGGATGGCCACGGTCCCGCACCTTTCTCACGGAAGCCCCGCCTCTGCCCGGTCGTTGATTGGAGGACGAGCCAGCGGAATTGGCGTCATTGCCGTATTGGGACACACGGTATGGCGGAGCCCGGGAGGCGCAGGTAAGCTGGGAGGAAGAGGAAGGAGGGAGGGGACACTGGCTTTTCGTCTCGGTCTCCCCCTCCCCAGCGGGGCCCTTCGACTCTTCTCGGGCCCCTTCAATGCCCCTGGAAGGGAGTGGGCGGAAGCAGCCGCCGGTTGGCGCCCTGTGGCTCGGTGCGGACCTCCCAGCTGGGCCGCCTTCCACACGAGGCAGTTGCTTCTTCTCTTCCTAGGGGGGCGACTTATTGGGACGCGCGGGTTTGCTGCTTCCTTGTGACACGTGTGTGCGGCCCCACAAGTAAAAGGACGCACGTAAACAGGCCACGGAAGTCGCACAATTAAGCTGCTCACCCTGGTCAACGCTGCCACAGTAAAACTTTACTTAGCATCTCCTGTTGGGTTCCCTGCCCCTCCACCATCGCCTTTCTCTTCACCGCTCTCTATCTCTTTCTCAGAAGAAGCTTTGTTGTGAAGCTGTTCTCTGGGGACGTGCTAAGCTCTGCATATGTTGCTCCAGAATAAAGTATATGTGGCCTTCCTTGTGTGTGTGTGTGGGGTGGGGGGGGTCTTCCACAAAGTGTGCATCAAGTGCTTTACTGAACCGAAAGCCATGCCTAGAATGAGGGTAGAAACATGCTTGCTGGTGTTATTTTGATGGCTTTGTGGAATTTTAGTGATTTTATGGCTGCTGCTTCAGGCTTCCAATTGTTGCATTTTGTGATTTGTTGCAATTGTTGTCTTAAACTGTATGCCAAAGATAACTCTAGTTACAACGGTTCTTTGTAAAAAAGGACACTTGTAAAGCTCATCTTTCTTTTGGCAAATGGCTGCTGTAGGAAACAATTTGATGTCATTTTTACAAAGCATGTCTCTGTGTGTGACATGTATGCAACACACTGTCAGATAGAAGACCCAAAGCCAACTTCTCCTTCTCCCAGACTGTCATTTGCAAATCCAAAGATAAGAGCAAGGTATGGAGGTGATCTAGCTGTTGAACTCATCTTTGTGGGTCGTGCACATTGTACTCCACCAAGTACCTGCCCCTGATTACTGTAGTTTCCAAAAAGCTATCTGAAGTATTCTTCAGAACCAGTAAGTAGTGATAGCAAATCTGAAGTGATCCTCAGGGGAAGGGAGCTGCATTCTCTTGAAATACATTAGATGTTGTCAGTATATAATACACAGTACTTTGGATTATTACAATTAATTATTGTGTTAGCTTTAGTATGTTTTTTCTTAAAATTTAAACAACATAAGAAAACACATAATTTTAAGTTTTGTTTATTAAAATGTAAGCATGAATTTTTAGGGTAGGGATGAGCAAGGTCTGGCTTTCCAGATGCTTTGGCTGTGACTCTCCTCAGTCATAGCCAGCATAGCCAATGGTGAGCCAATTCTCACAAGTTGCCTGCCCTTGCTTTGGGCATCAGGCTAATTTCCAGTAACAATAAGGAATATTTTATTAAAACTATAAGGATTTGCTTGCTATACTGTTGCTAAGTGAAGTCAGGGGACAAGACTGATGGTGAAATATGAACCACCTTTATTGGTTTTATTCTAGTGAATTCTGGAGACATCTAATACATTTTTATACTGTATTTGAATATTGATTCTGTAAAGTGCTTAAAATATGTTTAGTTCTGGGATACAAATTGATTAATAACAGTGATCTGAGATTTCATGTAACAGTGTGCTTCACTTATTCTACATGTGGCCAATGCAGTCCCATTCCAGCCACACCTAAACCTTCCTCCGCTTGGATAGTATGTGGAGGGAGGTGCATTGACACAATTCTCTTTTAAGAGATAACATCACCAAGCTTTGTTTGTTTGTTTGTTTGTTTAATAGATTTATATGCCACTGCAAAAGCCCATATCTGAGTTCTCTGGACAGCTCACAATATCTATAGTTGTTTAGATTCTTACTGAAAACAGTCATGAACATTAATGCTTGAGTAAAAAAAAATAGACAATTAGTGATATAACTTCTGTTAATATAGATAATAGCTTGTACCTGATCTATTTTAATAACATGTTTGTGCAATTTCAGAAAGTATTACTTGTTTTCCTTTACAGATGAGCATTGTTTCATAGAAAAATAGAACAATTCCACAGAGAGACTTTGGGAAACTGGTAATATTAATCAAGAGTTTGAAGTGCATTTAAGAAAAAAAATGAAGAGTGGTGTAGCACAGATGAATGTAAGTATTTTCTGATTTTAATTTAGAAAATGCTTTCAGTGTTGGCTTTTGATGGTTCTAAGCCAATATTTTCTTTATTATTTGATTTTTAGTCCGCCCCAATTAGCCACTTGGCTTCCTGGACAGGTTACAGACAATAATATACTTAGGAAGCCTTCATCCTTTAGTCCAGATGTGGATGTGTCTCCTACAGCTTTAAAGTGGTGGAGAGTAGATGCAAAAAGCCTCCCCTGTAGGTTCTTCTCTTTGCAGAAAGATTCATGTGACCTGGGACTACAGCTAGTTTTGACCACTCAACTTGCCTGCCCCATCTTGTGAGTATCCAGGTCTCTGGACATTCACAGAGACCCAAGGTTCCCTAACCTGAACTTTCACCCCAACCGTTACAGCCATATAGACTTCCTGTGCATTCACCTAAGTGCTGCCAAACTGCAGCACTCATGGACTTCTTCATGACCACTCAGTTTGGTTGTCTGCTCTCCTAGATTTTAAGGCCTTAGAAGCTGCACAGGGATCTCGCATGTAAGTACAGAAATGCAGGTCTCAGGTTGTACTTCATCAGTGCTCAGTGTTCCTGCCCTGTATTGCAGATATTCAAACATCCTCACATACAAAAGGATCCATGATTTCACCTGATCCCTAACAGCCATATAACACTGCTATGCCTTCAGATAAGCTGCCAAATGCAGCACGCATGGTCTTCTTCATTACTGCTAAGTTCTGTTGCTAAATCCCATTGATTTACAGAACCAGGAGTTTCAAAAGGAACCCCTTTTTCGTAACCCAAACCAGAAGCTGAAATTTTCACTGCAACCCATTTTCATGCATGCTAATCTAATAAGTGTTAAGCTGCATATCAATGTTGTATGTTTTGTATTCTCACCTTGCTTGCCACATTTCTCAACTTTAGAAATACTCAGGGATGTAAGGTTTCCTAACTCTAAGTTGAATTTCACCCCAGCCATAACAGCTGTATGATATTTATATGTATCCAGATAATCTACTGAAGAGCAATACTCATGCACTTCCTTGTGACAGCACAGTTTGATTGCACAGTCCTCTTAATTTCCAGGCCCCAGGAGCTGCATGATGAGCCTTATTTTCCTAAGCCTAATCTGAGCTTTTTACTCCGATACTTCCACCCTATTTTAAAGCATGTACATTCCCAGAAGTGGACAAATGTAGATCATGGGTTGTATCTTTTGTGTGGTCAACTTGCCTCCCCTTCCTTGCAAATTTCCAGGCCTCTGGACATGGACAGGGATTCAAGATTTTCTAGCCATAACCTGAGGTTTCGTCCCAACCCAAGGAACTATATACAGTTCCTATCCCTGCCGGCAGTTTGCCCATATGCAGGACTCCTGGTCTTCTTCATGCATGCTCAGTATGGTTTCACAGTCCTCTTCATTTCCAGCCTTCAATAGCTTCAAAGGGAGCACAGTTTTCCTAATCTTAACCAAAGAGCTTAACTGGAATACTTCAACCCCATTCTAATGCAAGGAAATTCACACAAGTGCAGGAATGCATGAGGCAGTTCATTCTTTTTGAGAACTCTGTTTGCCTCTTCCATCTCAGTAATTTCAAATCTTTGGGACATGTGGACAGAATGAGATTTCTAATACTAAACCCAACTTTAACTTATAACCCCACATTAGCAGTCTTATACAATTTCTGTACATTCAGCTGGTCTTTCCAAATGCAGGATTCACATGCTTTTTCATGATGGCACAGTTTGTTTACCCCATCCCATTGATTTCCAGGGCTTGGGAGATGTAGAGGGAGCCCAGCTTTCCTAACCCAATCCTAAACAAAGATTTTACTGCAATATTTCTCCCCCGTTTTAATGCATGTATTTTCACACAAGTGTAGAAATGCAGCTGCCAGGCTGTTATTTTTGTGTGCTGAAATTCTCTCCCCCATCTCAGTCATTCCCAAGCCTCTGAAAATGCACAGGAATCCAAGATGTTCTAAATCTACCCTAAGCCTAAACTGAAATATCACACCCCCATAGCAACCGTATAGAATTCTTATGCATTCAGTTGTCCCCCTCCCCCAGCAATGCACCACTTGCTCTCATATTCATCACTGTTTAGTTTGTTTGACCCATCCTATTGATTTCTTGGTCTTAGCAACTTTTCCTCTAGATCTGAATCCTATCCTGAGATATTCATTGCAATAATTCTTCCCCCATTGGGACGCATGTGGCTTCACACAAGTGTGCAGGTGCATCTGTCAGGCTGGACATTTTGTGTACTCTGCTTGACTACCCCATCTTGTTCCCAGCCTCTGGAGATGCAGAGGGATCCAAGATTTCCTAAGTGGAATGCTAAACTGAAATAGCACTGCAATTTAGCAACCAGACAAAATTCCTGTGCTTTCATCTAATCTCCTCAGATGCAATATTTACACTCTCATTCCTGGCTGCGCAGTTTCTTTTCTCCATCCCACTGATTTCCAGGCTTCAGGAGCAGCAGAGCTAGCCTGATATTCCTAACTGACACCCTCACATGAGATTTTCACTACAGTATTTCTCCTCCTTTTTAAAGCATATAGTTTCACACAAGTGCAAAAATGCAGCTATCGGGCTGTTTGTTTGTTTTTGTGTACGCCACTTCCCTCCTTCATCTCAGTAATTCCCAAGACTCTAGAGATGCTGAGGGATTCAAGATTTCCTACCCCTGTCTCTTACTGTAACCTGAATTCTCACCTCACTGTAGCAGGTATGTAGAATACCTGTGGATTCAGTTAGGCTCCCAAAATGCAGTATTCACAGTCTTATATGTGATTGCTCAGTTTGGCTCCCCATCCCATTGATTTCTAGGCTTCAGGAGCTGCAGAGGGAATCTGTTTTTCCTAACCTGAATCCTAGTCCGAGATTTTCCCTGAATCATTTCTACCCTATTTTCATGCATGCATGTATGCATGCATGTGCAGATATGCAGGTGGCAAGTTGTTCTTTTTGAGTGCTTCAGTTGTCCCATTTCCGTAATTTCCAAACCTCTGGAGTTGCAGAGGAGATTCCCAAACCCTAACCTTAACTGGAAGTTTCATGCCACTGATAGCTGCTATAAAGTATTCCTGTGCTTAAGCATTGGCTGCCTAAATGTAGCATTCACAGTCTTCTTCGTGACTGCTGAGTCCAGGGCCCACTGGTTGTAGAAGGAGCCTGATTTTCCTAACTGAATCCAAACCCTAACCTAAGAGTTTCACTGCAGCAGTTACACCCCATTTTTATTTGCTTTTTTACTATATATGCTGCCAATTAGTCAAAAAGAGAGTGGCATATAAATTCAATAGAGTCCAAATTTTAATGCATGTTGAATCACACAAGTGCAAAAATGCAGGAGGAGCGTCCACTTGCCTTCTCTATGTCTGCAATTTCCATGTAGAGGGACCCATGATTTGCTAACCCTGTCCATAGGCATAATGTGAAGTTTCTCCTTCAGCTGAGCAGACAGACAGACTTTCTACCCATTTGTATACTCTCCCCAGATGGAGCATTCTCTTTGTCACTGCTTCGATTGGTCGACCAGTTACTTTAATGTCATGGCCGTAGGAGCTGTACAGGCAGCCTGGTTTTCTTAACTTTAGCACAAGATAGTCTCTCTAACAAGTACAGAAATGTCCTTCTCAGGGTGTGCTTTGTGGGTGCTCAGTTCTCTGCCTTATCTTACAAATTTCCAGGCCACTTCACATGCACAGGATTCCAGTTTACCCTAACTCTAATACTACCCTGAAATTTCACTCAAACCCAAGCAGCCATATTAAAGTCTTTATGCGTTCAGATTGGCTGCCCAGTCGTCGGACTCATGAGTGCTCAATTCTGCCCAGTCTTGTTCATTTCTAGGCCATGCAGACTGCAAAGAGAGTTCCATTTTCTTAATCCTAACCCAACCTTAATATTTGAATGTCACTGTGATCCTTCTACTGTGCTTTTTAAAATTCATGTGTTTTCATCAAAGTGAAGAAATGCGGGTCTCAGGTTGTTTCTTGCCTACTCTGTCACCACCCCCAAATTGCTAGAAGTGTCTAACACTTATTTATTTTAACCGCAAACATTTTTCTAGTAATAAATGGCCTCCAGAACATCCCCTAATGGTCAGGAGAAGTTTTGTTAAACTGCAACTGGCTGCTGTGGGAGTTGTGAGGAGTGACTAGAGGAAGAAGTGTTAAGTGTGCAGAATTTTAAGGAACTTTTTTGCATTGTGTATAATTTCCTTGTGCTTGAGATACCTAATTTTACATTAATTACCTAAAATATATATTCTTTTCATTTTAAGTCTGGTTCTACTAACGAAAAGAAGGATTCTCATAGTCTTCGGCGGAGAAGTTCCTCTCCAGAAGAAAGGTAGTACTGTATGCTTCAGGAAAGAAGTACACAATTGAAATTCAATATGGAACTGTATTCGGGGGTTAAAAATTACAACCATTGGAGGGCATGGGAGTGTAATGCAGTGCCGCATTGGTCCTCACATATACCATCCCCACAGGTGACCTGGATTGAGCAGGTTGCTACTGTAAGGGTTCCTGATGGAAGAACAAATTCTGAACCTCTTCAGCTAAAGTCTGCCTTCCCACATGTTAGTCAGAAACCAATGGAGATGTTGGGCTAGGTCTGTCACATGTATTCTTACTCCTGTTCTTCACATTCACTGAACACTGGAAGACGCAACCCCTGGATAGGGTTATGATCCCAGTCAGAAACATTTCTAAACAAGGGTCAGTTGAAACCAGGTAGGCCATAATATTGCTGTGGAAAACACAAATATCCATTTCTGGTCGTCATTGAATTTTTCATTTCCACCTCAAAGTTCTTATTAAGGAATTTGCTAAACTTGCAGAATGTACATTTGTTTCATGCAGGGTGTGGAGGGATTCATTCTTATAAGACTTGATTAGCAGAAGGGAAAGTGGGAAGGGCTGGATTGTGACCAAGTTGTGGAATTGTTTAAAGAAATAGAAAGGATGCATAATTGCCAAAGCTTACATGTTGCAATCCCTTTTATAATTATCTTTTCTTTCTATTGTGCTTGCATAAGCAGTTCCAATTTGTTCTATACGATGAAAGATCATAAATTTTGTGAGGTGGAGAAGAAAATTTTCCAGAATGCTCTGTTCTTCTAGTAACATTTTCTATTTTACAAATCCATTTTGAGCAAATGGATCCTGACTGGGAACATTATACCAGCTTGGCAGTTCAAAAAGTGTAATTCCAATTTTTCAGGTGATGTTTGCCTAGCAAATTAGAATACAGAAATGTTTTTGTGTAATATAAAACCAAAAGTAGTGGCACTGAAACAGAAAGTGCCCCAGCATCCTTGATGGCAGGCTGTTGAAGTCAGATGAAACAGATAAATGGTCATCAGCGTATCATGCACCACTCTGGGGGTTGCTAAAATTAATTAGTGCCGCCTTCCACAGCCTCATGCCCTCAAGATGTGTTGGACCACATTTCCCAGCATCATGCACCAGCACCAGGTCTGGAAAAGCTGGATTCATGTGTCAAACTTCTCAGTACCACTTTTCCATACATTTGAATAATGTTACTGTCCTTAATTTTTTTCAAGTATTTCAGTAAAATCTGCATAGTATAATACTCAAGTGCTTTCATTTTTGTCCTCAAATATTTCAAGTCAAATATTTCTATATTGGTACACACAAAAATAGCTTTGTTATTTACTAAAAGCATATAAAGTAAGCATGCTAAATTAGCTCATTTTATGGCATCAGAAATTCCTGATGACACTGCGCAACTAACAGGACATTTTTAGAAAGTGTTCCTTTTCAAAAATGTCTGGAAAACCCACTTCGCTGTGTATGTGCACATTTGATGGAAACTGTCTATTAGAAATTTAATACCAAAGCTTCTGCAATTCTGTAACACATGAATGCCATGTTCTGTGAAATAGCCTTTTCCTTTAAGAACATTTACTAACAGTTTCTTGTTCTTAATCTTGGGCTAGGTACATGGAGCGACGGAAGTCTCGGTCACCAGAAGCCAGAGGTTATTCAGATCGCAGCAGATCTGACCAAGAATATGCAGAAAAGAAACGCTACAGTGACAAACACACTGAAACAAGGTAAATGTCAAGTGATTCGGGGGGTGGGGGGAATGTTGATTTAATTTAACTCAGGAGTAGGGCACCTATTGCATGCTGTCTGTGGATGAGCTGACAAAAAAAGCTACCCTGCCCATTTTGCTTTTCTCTGTGCAGAGTTCTATGTTCCTCTCTGCCCAGAAAGAGACTCGGTTGGAGTCTGGAGAATTAGCCAAATTAGTCTCATTCTTCTTGTGTTATGTGCTATCAAGAATGGGCTGGCTAGCAGTGTGTGATTGCTCAATCATTGCTTCCTGTGGTTGTTTACTCTATATGCTGCTCATCATCCCAGCTAGGCCAGAAGAAGCCAGATCCCAGCTGTTGTCTGCAAACTGGAGGAACCTGAGGACCAAATGGGAATGTCCATGGAGCTGATTAGGCTACTGAGGCAGAGGTTTCTTATGCCTGGTTTAACTCTTAGTGGGTTTTGTTCCATGTTGTTTTTGCTTAAAAATAAGAAATAATAACAATTTTTGGCAGTTGCTTAACTTCTCATGACTTGATCTTTTAATATGTCTTCCTACTTTTAGGGGAAGAGAAAGACAGGAAAGAGAAAAGGAATTTGATGGGAAAAGATACAGGAGATCTCCTTCACCTGACAGAAAAAATGCAGCAGAGAGATCGGCACTGCAGAGTTCTCTTCCTCCTGAAGAACCTCCTCCAAAGAAGAAAAAAGATGATATAGATCCCATTCTCACCCGTACCGGTGGTGCATACATCCCTCCAGCAAAGCTTAGGATGATGCAAGCACAAATCACTGATAAAAATAGGTGGGCCAAATGTAAACATGTTTCATATCTTGCATTAACTGAAATGACTGTACTCAAAAACGGGACGTTTCAAACTAACCAGCACCAAGAAACAGTCATACTTGATGTGCCAAAACTTCTCATCTTAGAGGGAAGGGTGCAGTTGCCAGGGGGTGGGGGATAGAGGTGGGAAGTGGGGATTCTGCTGCATGTTGGCAGGGCTGGTGACAGGGAAATCCTGCCTGTGATGGGTCATCCCATTTGGCCTCTGAAATTCGAAATGTTGGGAAGATATGTGCAATGTGTCTTTATTCTAAAGTTGCTTTAGAGCGGGGTTGGGCAGCTTGCAGCCCACCAACAGCTCTAGCTGATGGTGTGCTGATTAGAGTTGTAGACCAAAACATGATGAGGGCTGATTAGAGTTGTAGACCAAAACATCGTGGGGCGGGGGTGGGGGCACAAGTAGCCTATCCCTGTTTTATAGTTTGGATAGTTTTTCCAACACAAATCTATGTGCCTCAAATTCCCATGCTTAAGTTGCCATTTGGTTTTCATGCTATTCTTATTTGAGTATCAGTTGCATAAACCAGACAGGGATCTTTAGATTTGTTGTGTATAATGGCATCCTCATATGATATGTGCCCCTCCTAGTTCTTTCTCTTGATAATGCTTTTTTATTTTCAACAGACAGATTCATTGTTGATGCAATATATTGTCAGTTAAACGTTTAGGTCTAACAATTCTGAAAGCAACTTTCTGAAAGACAGGTAGATATGGTTTCTGAAAAGTGCAATCCTATGCATGTTTAGTGAAAAAAGAAACCTCACAAATCCCAGCTACCTGAGGAATACTGGCAATTAATGGATTTTTTTGTCTAAAAACACATCTGTTGAGACCTCAAGTTGACCAAGCAATACATTTCTATGCAATTTTTACTGATCAGTGCATTTGTAATATTTTAAAAAACAGTTTAGCATATCAAAGGATGAGTTGGGAAGCCCTGAAGAAATCCATCAATGGTCTCATCAATAAGGTGAATGTTTCAAATATTGAGAATATTATCCACGAGCTCCTGCAAGAAAATATTGTGAGAGGAAGGTAAGCATGAAATACTTAAAATGCAAGCTTCTGCTTAATAAGTGTCAAGCATCTTATAAAAAGCTTTTTCTGGTATTCTTTTGGTCAGCTTTAGGGTTTTATACACCTGCAAAAGAATTGAAGTGTAATGAGAGTGAGACCCACTGGACGCAGAAAGTTTTGATCATGCTTATCTTGAAGACTTTGTAGTAGGAATGGAATGGAATGGAATGGAATGGAATGGAATGGAATGGAATGGAATAAAAGTAGAGTTGGAAGGGGCCTGTAAGTCCATTGAGTCCAATACCTGCTCCACTTCCACATGTGGTCAATCATTCAGCTGCAGGCCTGAGCCTTTCCAACTTTGCAAGAGCGAGTCAACATGCTAACTCAATGTATAGCTATGCAGGCAGGCTTCATAGACTTACAGTTCAGTGGTAATATTGGGGAAGAATTGGAACCAGACTTTTTACAGAGCGTAGCTATTAAGCAGTTTCTATTTACGATATAATGTTTTTATAAAAAACAGACTTTTTAAAGATCTGGAATCTTGTTGTGGGAAATCATCTTTTGTCCTCCCAGTTACACTGAGTACATGCTGATCTATAAGCAGAGCTTATAGTGATTATAGTGAATGGGTGTCAATACACGAAATGTTGGGGATGGGTGGGGAATGCTGAAAGCTAGAGGAAAACAATCTGCCAGTATAGAAAATAAGGATAGTTAGTGTTAACTATACAATAATATAATCCAGAGTTTGAGGAGAACCTCATTGTACCCTTTGCTATGAGGCATCATAGTCTTCACTTTCAGTGACGTAGAATCTGGACCCCTGTAGCTGTTAAATGGCCAAAACTCTAACTGAAGAAGTAGAAATTGAAGAAATGAAGACTTAGTACATAGATGTATCAGCTAAACATGTAATAGCTCTTTACCTTTTGTCTCTTAGTTCACATATGCTGTGATTAGGCAGCTCTTTGTGGCTGTGAGCTTCTTGTGAGCTGAGGAGGAATTCCTGAATTTTCTCTGTGTCCAGGGAAACTGATTGCAGTTCATTGCTGTGTCTGAGAACAGCTACAGGATAAGGAAGGAAGCTCTGCTCGTATCTGTCTAACTTGTTTTGGACTGATAAGATGCCCATTCTCTTTTGATACTGTAGGGGCCTTACAGTAATTTGCTTGGGCCTTAAGTAAGAGACTGTTTGCATGCCTGTGTTTCTTTCCTAATCACAAATGAGACTGTCCTCTTGATTATATACCACCCATGTTCAAAAAGGCTGTCCCAGTTTCACACTTCCTTTTGGAAAGTTGACAGAATTGAAACTTGTGCATTCTTTGGATCAGTTTTTAGGAAACAGTATGTGCGTAGTTCTGCATCTTTCATCTTCTTTAAAGGGTTATCTTTAAAGTTGCCATTGCTAGGCATTTGTACATTTGGGCTGATAAAATCTATCATCACTCTAGTTTTTTTGTCTTCTCCTTACAAGAATCAGTTGGCAGTATGTGTGTATATGAGAGTTAGAAGGTGAAGATGTAGCCTGTGCATGTGCACAGGTTTATATGAACTATTTTTTCTTTTACAATAGCAACCTTAGCTTTTAAACTATGCTTCCTTATTCTGGTCCCGGTTTATTGGAGATGCCTGTGTTTCAAGTCTCTTTCAGAAACCGCTGCTCACTACATCCTATAGACTAGCATACAAGTTTCAGGAGGGTTGTTCTCTGCCACAGCTCCTCCTTTCCTGCCCAGTTTCTGTATGTCTTTCACCCAGGAGGCACTAATGGCAGAAGGAAGTCAGCCCCTGTGCACCTTTTCCCTGTGGAGAGGGCCAGCAGTGGCCTTTCCATAGCTTTTCTTGATCCCAGACAAATTATAGGACTGTCGTATTTCAAGTACAAGTTAGTTATTTGCAGTTGCTAGTAGAGATGGTATGGTGTGCTAGCTAGAGTGTTTGCCTGTGACTGTAGAGAGTACAGTTCAAATTCCCACTCAGCCATGGAACTCACTGATCCAGTTTGGATGATCAGATAACTCACAGTTGGTTAATCATGGATTGTTTGTGAGTGGTTGGAAGGAGCATGCTGTTTCTTGCTGCTCCTGCTTCTATTCCTGGTTTGTGTGCCATGCTGTCTGAACCTGGAATTCTGGATTGTTAAGGGAGAAACAATACAGTTTTATCTCAAACAAAGCATTGATTAAAACTTGTAAGTTGTTTCTCACTAAACAACCCAGAGTTCCAAATCCAGAATCTTGTCACACACCCCTGGAATGTTTAGCAAAGCAGAAGCAGTTGAGAACTCATTTGCTCCCTTACACTGACAAACAATCCATGGTTTGTTTACCATGGGTTGTTTGATTGTCTGAACTGAACTGAGTGTCTTTGTAAGTTGGGTCACTCAGTTTCACCTCATTCTGTTCACTGCCCTGGATTCTTTGAGGGAAAGTTGTGGTACAGATCTAATAAAAGCCCGTAAAGGAAGGTATGTGATTAAATTCACTGTCCTGTGACCTCTGGAGCAGGGGTGAACAGAATGTAGACTTGAGTGTTTAGCAAGGGTTTCTGACCCCCAGTTGTTTATCAATACGAGTAGAAGAATGTGCCCTGTCCTCCCATTATTGGTACTGCTGAAGAAAGAAATGGAATTTTATGTGGAGGGACCATGAACTCTGTGTAATTCTAATATTCAGAATTCCTAGACTCAGACAGACTGAACCCTGTGTCTTTTGTACAGGCTTTTATTGGTAGAACTTGTCATACCAGTAAAAGAAAGTAGAACTCACAAGCCTCTAGAGCAAAGGCATGTAGAAAGTTGGTTCTTTGGACTAGCTCCAAGCATCCCTATTGTTAGTACTAGCAGGGGCTCCTTGGAGCTGAAGTCCAAAGGATCTGGAGATCAACCTTCTGCCCACCTCTGTTCTAGAGTCTTTCCAGCAAGTGGTAACAGGCAGAGACAAGTGAATGAAAATAAGGCCTGTGATTCATAATGATTTGTTCGTTCCTGTAAAACAACAAGGAACATTGTTCCTTGATTTGGATAGAGCATTTGATTTGTACTGTCTCTCTCTTCTTAAATTGTGATTAGATGGAAGAAGAAATTACTGCCACACAGTTATTGCTTCAATAGTAAAGTAAGCAGTAGCATTAGATGAACTAATCCACAGAGATCCTTCTCTGACACACTTCCTTAGTACTTTAACTAAAACATAGTTTGCTTCTCATGGGCTTTCTCACTCTAGAGACATTCAGAAAAGAAACTGGACAGTCATCTGAGTGGGATGGTATAAATTTGTAACCTGTAACAGCAAGGGGTTGGACCCAATATCCTTCTTAGCCCCTTCCAGCTCTATTATTCTATGATTCTACAGGACATTGGTGGTTTTGTAAATATATAATGTTTTAAATACGGTCATGAAAATAACATAAGGGCTGAATTATTTGTTATAATTAATTTACTCATGTATATTTAACATTCATACACGCGTGGCTTACAGATTGCTTGGTACTTTGAGAAGCTTTCTTGTGTTGTACCTTTTTAATTGATCTGTATAGCAGGATTATGGCAGTACTTTTTGTTAGGCACAAAGGCAGTGGATTGTTCTTTTACTTTTATTTTGGATCAGTTGGTATTTTTTGGTATTTCTGAAAAATGCAGTAGCATTTGATAGAAACTTGATTTGTTAAGTGGAAACATTAATGTACAGTTAAGTGATGAAAGAACAGTATCAATTGATTAGGGAATACTTTGCAAATAGGATTTACTTGTCACTTGTTTGGAATTGGTGTACAAAGGTATTTTTTTTTAAATAAGAGCAAAGATATATTGAGTATTAGTTTCTTAACACTCTTACAGATTAATCTGGTCTGCTCAGAGTATAACACTGGAGCTCTTGGAAAGCTTGGCTTGCAATATTGTAAGCCGTCCTGAGGCATTGTCATAAAGGACAGCATATAAATGTTCTAAATAAATAAAAATAAATATAGATGTGTATTGATAAGGGGTAGTGAAGCAACAAAAAAGGTGGAAAGCCGAAAACACTCTTAGGGAATGTTAGGTAGTTGTAGTTGGTAATTGATAAAATAGAAATTCAAAATAATGCCATCTAGGAAAGCCACTGGATATCTTGAGATTGCTAGGATATATGTTCAGGAATCCCTGAAAATCAGAACTACCTTCCATGAAAGGAGCCCTGCTTACAGATGGTGGTGCCACCCAATTTGGGGGAATTCCCTTCTGCACCTCAGTGGAGCCTGTTCAGCAGGGCCCTGGCCCTCTATATGACATTTTCAGGAGGCTGGACTGGGTGCTGTGTATTTTGGGGGCAATGATGACTTCTGGCAGCCCCTGGAGATGCTTTGCAATCTGGATCTATCCCACAGACTTCTTTCTCTTTTAGAAAGTTGCTTCAGTGATTTGCGTTCTCATTTGCAGGGGACTGCTGTCAAGGTCCATTCTCCAAGCACAGAGTGCTTCACCAATCTTCACTCATGTTTATGCAGCAGTTGTAGCAATCATCAATTCAAAGTTTCCAAATACTGGTGAACTGATACTCAAGAGGCTTATTTTAAATTTCCGCAAAGGTTACAGAAGAAATGATAAGGTATGTAAGAAAAGTTACAGTGCCAAATGACAGGATGAGATTTATGGCAATGCTGTCTTGTTTATATTATGAGATACATCTGTATGTTCAGTGAAATTTATTCCTGCATTAATATGTTTAAGAATTATGCATTATGTGATCATCAGGAAAAATCCAGAAAAGCAAAATATCTGGGAATTTTGAAGCTATTTGTTAGCCGGGGTGGTGGACATTCTGTACCCTTTCCTCCCAGAAAGGCAATTTGGAAAAAAACCCCATGAAATCCTTATTGTCCTGGGAATTCTAAACCTATTTTACTACTACGATAACATGAAATTCATTGTGTATAATATAGTACATAACTGTGCTGTTTGCTATATTAAATCTAAAAGTCCTCTAGCCTTAAATGCCTTATGTTTTCAGCATTTTGGATTAGGAATAATGCAAAACAACCTGTAATTCTGTGAGGTGAAAATGAGATGATTGCAATGTCTGTCTCCAACATAATGGAGTGGTACTTTTGTTGTACAAACATACATTATATAGCAGCCTTCCCCAACTTGTGCCTTTCAGACATGTTTAGACTGCAGCACCTAGAATTCCCAGTCGATGGACCTGCTGGATAGGAATTCTGGGAGTTGCAGTCCAAATGCCTCTGGGGAAGGCTGGCTTACAGAGACTGTATATTCCTAAAATGGTCAACTAGCAGTTTTGCTTCTTCTGCTCACATACATTCCAGTGGAACCCAAGGCACAAGAGGGTGATGGCATTGCTAGAGGAATATGAGCGGATAGCTGCAGAGTTGTGCAGGGTGGCAGAGATAGCACCAAGAGAATAAACATTTCTAACTAAGCAACTAGATCAGGCTTTTCATTTGCAAGTTGTTTTACTGTTCTTATCCCCACAGCTCTCTCTTGTGGAATATCACAGTCAGGAAGCAGGTCTCTGCCACTGAAACTCTAGCTTCACCCATTTTGGTGCTGGCCCCTGACTGTTTTGCTTGTGGAAAAGCAGCCCTGCATAGGCTGAAAAGGTCTTGCATAATTATTAGAAACAAATTTCAGAGAATGCCACAAATCTAAAGCTGTACTTTAAACCTTGCCCTAACCCCCACTTTTCTGTCAAAAAAGTAACATGGTTTTGCCAGGTAACATGGTTTTGCCAAAACTCCGCCCTTACTTTACAAGATTACAACTGATCTTATCCTGATAACAACAGTTTTTAAGAACATTGTTACATCCATCAGGTGAGGATGCATTTGCTATAGTATATATAGTGAAATTTGTGTATGTAGAGGAATTTGAGACTAGAGCCTGAACTGGCCTACTGAGTAATGGGACTCCCAAGAGTGCTAGATCACCTAAGCCTGTATTCCCCAGCCTGGTGTCCTTTCGATATGTGGGAGAGCAGCTCCCAGCATCCTGCAGCCAGCATGGGAGTTCTAGTCCAGCATGTGTGGAGAGCACCAAGCTGGTGAAGGCTGGTTTAAGTGTTTCCAGAAATCTGCTGCTACCTCAGGGGCAGCAAGCTGCATCTTGGCAAATAGCCTAGAGCTTGGTGGCTGCTGAGCGCATTGCTTGAAGAATGTCCTGAAACAGCGTGCAGTGCATCATCTTCGTAATCTGTTCACCGCAACTGTAATTTATGTGTTTGGCAGAAGGGAACAACCTGTCTACATCCACACAAATAATGCAGGTTGTAACTTACTGAAAGACACAGTGAAATGCAGTCACTGGCTTAGATCCAGATATGGCCCTACTTAAAGTAGAACCTGTGAAGTAAATGAGACTCATTACTTAAGACTAATAGAATACACTAAGTATTTAATGGGTCTTATAACTGTACTCTATTGGCCTGAAGATGAGCTACTACTGACCTGAAGATGAACTACTGCCTAATGTTTCTTCCCCCCCCCCCGCCCCCCCACCCAAATCCTGCTCCTTTCCTCCCTAATAGCAAGGGAAGAAGGCTCTTAAAAAATGTAACGTATTAAATATGTATGTAAGTCACTTGGAGCCTTAGGGTTAGGATAGGATATAAAAGCAGACATAAGAATTTCACTCAGAGTAATATGTAACTTTACGTTTTGTTTTGCAGCAACTTTGCCTAACAGCTTCCAAGTTTGTTGCCCATCTTATGAATCAGAATGTGGTAAGATATTCTGTGTCCCTAATAGCATCTCTGCAGTCACTGTTGCTTTGAATATCAAAGAATAGCCAAGTAATAAGGTTTCATGGTTGGTATTTTAAGAATGCAGTCTTTTACCTGCAATTTCCCATCTAGCTGACTTAGCATCCACACGTACAGAACATTTCCCCCCTTAGATCACCTGAATAAGGTCTGCACCCGAAGAAGTCAAAGCAGAATTGCAGCTCTAATGAAATGAAGCAGTTTGCTTCAGTAATCAAGTGCCAAACACATTCCAGTTGTTTCATAGAAAGAGCAACCATTAATGACTGTTCCCTAATAAAGAAGACCCATGCTTCACATGTTTGTTTATTTGACTTTTGCGAGCCTCATTTTTCAAGATAATGAGTTCAGTTAACTTTACTAATCACAGAATTTGGATGTGTTTCTCAAATATAGGCAGTGTCTCTGTCTGTTTGCCTCTCTGGTGTGTGTGTGTGTGTTAACATTCCACAGGAGAGTGAACTGTGCATGTCCTCCATTTTCAGTGTGTAAGCTCTATCCCTTACAGCTGTTTCTAGTTTAAATAGAAGAAGCTATAATAATCCTGTTCTTGTACATAAACAAATAGTTACAATCCAGAGCAGATTGAGCAACTGGAGGAGGGGCTCTTAATCTCATTTCCAGAGTTGTTCATCAGATCTCTGATTGCACGTGCTACCAACCTTGTCACTGTTCTTCCCTGCCCCATGTGCAGATGAAAAAAGTGTCTCGGGGTTAAGATGCATACCCCTTAAGCCAATGATGCCCAGCCTTTTTGGGTCAGATGGCAAATGTGGAAATTTGCAAGACTGCTGTGAGCTCTCTCACAAAATGACTGTCATAGAAGGAGCACTTTTCCATTCATAAGACAGCTGCCATGGCCGGTAACAAAACACTTTACTTCCCAGAAAGCAAACCAGTGGGACTGTAAGAAAAAATAGCATGACTGTAAGAAAAAATAGCATCTCCAAGGGCCTAGGTATAAGGAAAGAGTTGGGGTCTGCAAGAAATTTGGTGTGGATTTTGTTTTGCAGCATGCTGGCCTCCCAGTTCAATGGATATTTCCAATTTAAATATTGAGTAATACTATAAAAGTTAGGGGAAAGGAGACTTGTGGGTCAAGAGAAGTTACATTGGAGACCCTGGCCTTCCCCCTCCCCCACAATGGTGTGAACAGCGAAAGGGCTTTGCCAGAATCTCTCCCTTATGCACCTCAACAGTTTTGTTGAAGACTAAATGAGGCAAGTAGCAATGCACAGCCGAGGTTCATGGCAGAAGGACCCAGTCAAAGTCATGGCGAGAGGAGGGTTAAGGGAGCTCTTTATAATTTCTTGATTCATGGGGGGGGGGGTGAGTCTGCTGATAGAACTATTGTGTTTTCCTTTCAAGCCTCACTTAAGCCCTTGTTAAAAGAGGATCAGAGAGCTGCCTGTGCCACACCCATCCACCCAGCTTGACATGACTTCAACCAGCAAATTCCTGCACTGAAACTGCTCTTGAAACTCCCTTGACCTGCAAAATGGGGTGAAGTGAGGGGCTCCTGGTTAGGACCCTTATGTCCAGAGCACCTCTTGGGGAGCAGAGCAAATTGCTCCTTTCTCTGAAGCTGTGCTGTGTTTTGTTAACTACTTTAAATGTATATATTTCAAATATCTGCAATAAGAGGAATTTAATTTGTAACAAAGTTTGTGTTCTTCTTGGTAAGGCTCATGAAGTTTTATGCTTGGAAATGCTCACGTTGCTTCTGGAAAGACCTACAGATGACAGTATTGAAGTAGCAATTGGATTTTTAAAGGAATGTGGCCTTAAATTGACTGAAGTGTCTCCTAGAGGTGTTAATGGTATGTATGTACTGCTGAGAGATTGCCTTCTTGATTTCCTACCATCTCACTAAACTAACTTGCACCTTGCTTTTGTTTTTAAAACTACAGCCATCTTTGACCGCCTTCGTCACATTCTGCATGAATCTGAAACAGACAAACGAGTTCAGTACATGATAGAAGTAATGTTTGCTGTGCGTAAAGATGGGTTCAAAGATCACCCAATAATTCCAGAAGGACTGGATCTTGTGGAGGAGGAAGATCAAGTCACTCATATGCTACCTTTGGAAGATGACTATAATCAAGAAGATGTTCTTAGTGAGAATGATGTTGAAATTGAACTTTTCAGTCTCTGTTATTTGTAATTTCTTTTAAGGAGCCTGCCATAATTTTGGCCTTTTTCTTTTCTCTTTTTTGTGAAGATGTGTTCAAGATGGATCCTAACTTTATGGAGAATGAAGAGAAGTACAAAGCTCTGAGAAAAGGTTTGTGGCTCAAAGTTGTTTTAGTTTTGCATGGTTGTACTATTGTTGGAAACTGCCCAGAGAGCTTTGGCTATGGGCAGTATAAAAATATAATAATAACAATAATGAAGCTCATGATAAGAGTGTAAGCATGTTATGACTAGTACTTTGGATGTAGTTGAAGTGAAAACAACGATCAAGACAAAAACAGTGTTTTAATTTTTATTTGTCTTATGCTAATAATGGTGCATCTTTTGGAAAACTATCCGGATTTTATTTTGATCTAGAGCTGGGGAGTGTTTTGCCTTTCTAGCAATGTTTGTGTCTTTAAATGATTCAGTTATCGTATTGAACCCCCTCCCCTCAGGCTTATATATGTTAAAGTCCTGGGGTATTGCAGGATATGAACAGTGCAATCCTGTACTTATTTACTCAAAATTAAGTCCCACTGAGAGCAATGGGATTTACTCCTGAGTAAATAAAATTAGGATTGCATCCTAAAACTACCACATTCCTTATTTCAGCTCTGAAGCATCCTGTTTCAAATACGTGGGTATCTGATTCTGAATGTCATCTTCTGACTTAGCTCTGCACGATCTAACATTTACTTAATTTTATCTTTACTGTAGAAATTCTTGATGAAGGTGACAGTGATTCAGAAGCTGGTCAAGATGGTGGAAGTAGTGAGGAAGAAGAAGAGGAGGAGGAGGATAAAGAGGATGAGGAGGATGAAGAAGGTAAGGGTGAAACAGCTTTATGGGCTACCTGGCATTGTGGAAGTTCAGTATGCCAGTATAGTAAATTGACTTTTGTTTAGGTTAAGCTGTCACTCCTTTTGAAGGAACAAAAGTTTGATTTTGGTTTTGCCTTTACATGACTAGTGCATGTTTTCCTGTCAGTTTCATTGAAAGTACTATGGATGTGTAGATTGATTTGAATGCAGAAGTGCTTTTAGGTTAATAATAGACTATCCGACTTACTGCACTTGCCATTCTCAAGTCAGGGTTCTGCCTGGGCAAAATTCTTGACAAAAGCCTGATTTGAGATATCTATTGCATTTCCTTAAATTTGGATTCAAGTATCTACATTTGTGGTTCCTAGCAGGATCTTTAAATTAGGTAAGAGATTTCTGTACACCTCATACTTTGCTTTTGAAAGTCCTTTCAACTTCAAATATTTGGGAAACACAAGCCCAATGTTTCCTTGGTCATTTGGAACTACTTTTGTTGAGAGAAGAGGTTCTATCCCAGGTTTCTTATTTTACTGACATTTCAAAGTAGATTTCTTCCCACCTATCTGTATCATTGTAAAAGTATGTATGGATGTTGTTTGAAGGTTTTATACAGAAGCATATCACTTTTTTCATTTTTCTTTGCTGAAATAGATTCTCTTAATAACCACTGTTATGAAGTGATGTGCTTTATCATCCTCATTTTGGCTATATAATGGACATAATCAAGCCAAAACTAAGCACCACTTTAATGATCCATTGGGTTCAATAGAAAAGTTAAGACAGTTTAAATAAGTCCACTGACAATGAAGTTTAAAATGTTTAATTTGGGTAAGCACTTGCACCTTAACACTACTTCCTTTCCTCAAAACCGTGGGTGTAAGTCCTGCTTTCTTGAAGTTCACATGCATCCCTTATCGCCTTAAATGTTAAGTTTAGATTTTAGAAGCCTATTTCATTCTTTAGGACTAGGGAAGTATGCCTTACAAAAGAAAGCAGCATTTCATTTTCTTTAAGTCAACAACTGATGAAACTCTATAGTAATTTAAAACAATGTCACAGACTTGTTGGAAATAGAGAGTGGTTAGACAAGTATGCAAGAAGAGTTTGAGATGGCCTCCTAGCACTTTCAGCAGTGCTCTTAGGAATTGAAAAATTTTTGATTCCCAGAAAATAATAAAAATAGCACATGTCAAATACACAAGTTGGTCATCGCTTGCATTGCTCATATGGAAACTCTAGAGGCAACTCCCACAAAAAGTAGGACAGTATTCTAATTCAGAGTAGTTTGGTTAGGGCCTGATATTATGAGTGCTATGCTGTTCAGCCTATAGGCGCAATCCATTGTGCTCTTACCATAACAGGAGAACCCCTTCTCCCAGAACCAGTTTGTATGCACAGGTTATGGCTCCCTTTTTGAATTAATGTGGCAGTCTGTGTGCGCAGGCATTGCACATATTAGTGCACATGTGTCTTTGGGTCAGGGCACTAGAATACTTTCATTTTTTTTCAAACATGTCCCTCTGCCATGAAGAGTATTGCGCTAAATAGCTGTAATTATGAATGGTACTGTTTTTCTCATCTATAATTTTAATGCGTATTCTTAATTAGCAAATTGATGTGAGATACATTAGGAAATAATTGAAGATATATGTTTTTTCGAAAAAGTCTCCAAGCCCAGCCTTTTTCTTCCCCACAATCTGAACTGCTTCTGTCTGCCCTAAATACATTTATGACAATGTGATGCTCATGTGCATACATTGGGAGTGTGGCTTGGTGGGTTGTCTAGAAGCAGTTTTTGCTTGCTCTGAGCAAGTTAGGTAGGTTTCCAACAGTTGGTTTTCTTTCATTTTCCTTCTGTGGCACAAGTACGTAGTTATGTGGGTGGAAAGTTATTTACCCGGCATTTTTGTGGGCTAGTAACTTCTGTGAGTGTAGTTGCAAGGCTAGTTAGGTGGTAATATAGGTGTTTCCATCTAGGAAAGCAAAGATAGATTGATTGTTACACTCATCTTTGTGTTAGCTTGGCTGTCGTACTATAATTCATAATACCTTTTTGTAATAAGATATATAAATATTGAGTTATATCCGGTAGTGGGTTTGTGTTAGTGCAAAGCATGTCTGTTCACACAAGTGATGAATTCAGATAACATGACAAGCCATGATGGTTTTTTACCGTTGTTGGTCTGTTGTGATATCTGAACCTAGCCGTGGTATTTCACCGTAGTAAATTTGTTCCTTAAAAACCATGATAAGAAACAATTGTTTGTTGTATGGTTTCTTTGTACCACCATGGCTTATTTTGTTAACCTATGATCATGGTTTCCAGAGTCCTGGTAGGCAGCTACCACAGAGTCCTCTGGAAGGAAAGGAAAGTGTAGGAGCTGCTCCACCCATCCAGCCTCTTTGTCCATACTGGTGAGAAAGAGGCAGGTGGCACAGGCAGGGAGGGATGCACCTTGGGATTGAATTTCAGGCACAATGGCTGATGGAATATGTGCCAACAGTTGGGAGGAGATAGCAGAGAAGCTGGAAACTATAATAAAGTAGAAAACACTTGATTTTCTGTTAGGTAAATCATGGTAAAATACCCATGAAACATTGGAACCATGCAGATTTGCTTGTTGTGTTAGGTGAAGCCTGCCAAAATACCCACTTCCACTGACTCCCCTTTGCCTATTTCAGCTCTCCATGGCATATACCCATATCATCCACAAACATCAGGAGTAGATTGGAGGGGGTATGGAGGTATAAATTAGATGTCGCACATTATGGAAGTGTTCATGCTATCAGCTAGTGCAACACCACAATTGAATACAATCTATTGGTATTTAATCATGGATGATGCATTTTCAAACCATTGTGTCTTAAACAGTATATTTATAATGCTTTCAGTTCTAACTTCTGTATCTTAATTCTTTGTGTGCCCCTGCACTCTTCAAGGACAAAAGGTGACCATCCATGATAAAACAGAAATTAACTTGGTCTCCTTCCGACGAACCATTTACCTTGCAATTCAGTCAAGGTAAGATGAAATATAGTTCTCAGTTGAAATGTGATGTTCTTCCTCTATAATTGCAGACATTTTTGCAAGCTAGCACATTAGACGTGGGAGGATTAAATTCTGGTTGCAGAGTTCATAGATCTAAATCCTTAGAAGCAGAATTCTTCTTTATAGGCTCTAGAATACTGTTAAAGGAATATCTCTAGAAGAAAAAAGCAACTTAGTCAATATGTGTACCTGTATTTGCATCAGGGGTGGGTGGGTAGAGAATGACAGGGAACAGTGTTTGAAGAGATTTGCTTGGTTTTAAGAGACTTTGTTAATGAACAGGATGTTTTTATTGTCCTTTTTACACTGATCATTAATATTTTTTATATGAAGACATCCTGAAACAACGTTTTAGAAGGCCAAAATGTTCTCATTTGTTTATTTGCTAGACATGGCACATTTCTGTTTAGGATGATGTTGTAGCAATAATGACTCACAAATTGGAGTCATTTTGTTTTTAGTCTGTCTGAAAATCTATTGGTCTTGGCTGTCTTTCATATACAAATATTTAAATTACTAAAATAGAATTGTTTTTCAACAACAGTTTTGTTAAAAGCTTGTTAAATTTGTTGTGCTTGTTAATGAAACGTCTGAGGAGAAAATGTGGTGGATTTTCAGTTAACTGCAGCGACAGTATTGATTTATGCACTTTTCCCTTTTAATGGATTTTTTGCAACTGTGCCCATGCTAGCCGGTTATCTAAAGTCCATGGATTTGCATGGTTTTCCCCTGATAAGTGAAAGGAGATAAATGGAAATCTGTGGTGGAGGTAGGCTGTTTGGCGGTTCTGTTCAGAGGTTCTTGTACCTCTTGAAGAGATTCTCACATCTGAAACTTGGAAAATAGATGACTTAATTCCTGTTTTTCTAAAAGAATGCTTAAATGCATTATCACTTGGATGTTTATGACCCCCCAGATTTTGCCTTTTTAATACAAAACATATTGTTAACACAGAAGTTTTATAAGCTGTTATGGTTGAAAATCAGTTCTGGACACACTTTTTTCCCCCCTTTATAGTTTAGACTTTGAAGAATGTGCGCATAAATTGCTGAAGATGGATTTTCCTGAGAGCCAAACGGTAATTCTCCCTCATGCCTTTTTTGCTCTTCTATTTCTGGATGAAATATCTTTTTATTATTTTGATATTGACACTATTCATCATATTACATAGTATATTGGCTAATACATGAGGAATCAGCTAAATTTTGATTAAATCTGTACCTTTTCCAGAATGATACTTTTTAAAAAAGTATGAATAGTAAATCAAGCAGTAGTTAATGTTGATGATTTTCTTCCTTACCAGTAATATGCCCTCAAAATAGAACATTGAAAGCTGATGCTGTGTTGCTCTGTGCGTAAAATGTTTGCTCTGCTGAAATGCAGATTTGTAACAGATGAAAAGCATTGTGACTGAGCAATTCTAGAGGCTGAAAGCAAATATTTCTGGAAAGTTATATTGTGTGTTGCTTTGCTGACTGTTATGAAATGGTTCTACAGAAGTCACACCTGCCCACAAAGGGTCAAGGTGAAGAAAGTCAGAACTCTTTCGAGCATCCTCTCAGAAGCACGTTTCCTTTCTTTCTGTTCTCCTGGTAGGATATAGGAAGTATTTTCACACTTGGGCTAGGAGCTTTCAAGGAGCCTTTTAGCTTCACTCTCTACACTCAGTAGGGAAAGTGAGGGGAACAGTGTTTCCTTGCCCTATGAGTAACTGACTCCTATTTATGCTATATGAGCAAGCTTCCCTCCTTTGTCAAAGCTATGAGGAGGCTGGAAAGAGGCAAAGAGCTTCCAGTTCTTTGCTGACTGCATCCAAAAAGGCCATGCAGTGGTTAATTTAGACAGTTCATTGAAACAACACAGGATCAAACCATGGTTTACAAATCCTGATTTACTGAAAAGCCACAATTTAGACTAACCTCAGCACATTCTTTTCAGATGTAGCAGCAGCTAGTGAAAGATAGGCTTCTAATCGCACAATTTTAGCAGAATGGAAGGAAGGTGTGCAAGTCCAAATTTCTCGCCTATTCACATGATGATGTTTTCATGATATGTCCAAGAATAGGCCATTCTCTAGGTTTGCACACTGATGTGAAATCTCTGTCTGGGCACATTCTTCTACTATTATGACTTTCTTTGACTCGTATCACTCATTTTTGTAAATAGATGAGTAAATTTCTCCAGTAAATTTATTTTTCTTTTATCCAGCAGTTTCTTCCATTTAAGGCATAACTCTGGGGCAGGCAACATGGTGCCCACTGGCACTCTTTCTTGGAGACCCCACAGTACCTGCTCCTCCTAACACTGCCTTTAATTTGGCCTTTTGGGCTGGTTACTTGTTCTTGGTGACTCACCATGCCTCCCATGGCAGCCATTTTGTGGATGTGCCTAAGATAGTTTTCGAAATTGTTCGATGGGCCCACCTGGTTGTAGCAACTGCCTGCCACTAGCACAAATAGGTACCTAGCAAAAGAGTATCTTCTGACCTGGTCAGGGAGAGAGTATAGGCAGGAAAAGGTGTTCCTCGAATGTAGCCAGCATAGCTGTATGTTGTGTTTCCTTGGACAGATAAACGCAGCACCAAGCAAAGCTGTGCAAACGCAATTGGAGAAATGGGGTTCTGGGACAAGCAGCTGGAATAAGCAAGCTTGGTTGACTACATCCCAAACATTTGCTTTTTTAATTTTTTGTATTTCCATCATATGAAATGTTAGATGGCTGCTAAACCTATGCTGCATCTGTTCAGCTAGCTGTTTACTCTCCAGATTGCTAAAGGGAAACGGAGGCAATAGGATTTTTGGGGCCAACTAAGATGGGATGTAGGACATCCATGGTAGCACCATGGTAGATATGACAGGGTTCTGTTCCTGTGTTGGTTTGTTAACTCTGGTTAGCTATCCAGAGTTAAACTGTAGTGCCTCCTCTGCCCCTGCCCCCCCCCCCGCTCCACATGAGGAAGCCTGGGATAGCTTGGCAGACATGCTTGATACTGTTTCACTAGATTAAGTTTTTGCATGATAACTTTTACAGACATTCATGTGTATTAGTTTTAAGATTTGTATAATTAATTCTCTTTTATACTCTTTAGAAGAAGAGAACCAATTTAGAAGATCTATACATTTCTTGTTATAATATGAGATTAGCATGATTTGGGGGTTTTCTTTAGTTGGGATCCCAGTATTAACCTAATAAAGTGATGCAGAAAGAATTAGCTTACTTTAAAGGTGAGGGGGAAGTGTGAAGTAAGTTCCACAGAAAAGAGCAGTGTTTTGGTCATCTGTACATGGAATTTCCCATCCAAATACAGACTCTTTTAATATGGAGTCAATTTTAATAATGCTTCTTAAATAATTGTTCTTATGGACAAAAGTGTGGCCAGCTATAATATACCGTAAGAATGTAAATTTAAATTTATCGAATATGACACTCATACATAAATGGTTGCATGTTGGCCACATCCATCAGTAAAAGGATGTAGCCAGATTTTGCATATTCCCCTCCAACCACTTGCACCATTAAGAAATCTGTTCTGGGAAACTGGAGGTTCCTCAGAACAATGTGGAAGATGGTACAACGGGGTTTTTTTGGGGGGGTGGGGGTTTGACAAGAGGTGTTTCCCTTGCAACTAGCAGAATCCCCTTGCTGCATCAAAAGTTTCTGCTGATGGAAGGAGACCTTCCTTCATGCAATGCAAATTTTTAATATGGCTATGTCATGATGTCATGCTTGATCTTAGAAAATTGATATATTCAATGCCACCTTCCTTACTGAGCTGTTAAAATTGCAGGCCTAATTTGCTGTTGCTGGGAAAGGGGTGACAGTTTTATCCTGCACTAATTAGAATAGAAAATCAAGTTAAAATGAAGGAAAATGCATTTAAGTAAAACAAAAATTCTAAGAAAACTGTCAGCAGAAATAAGCAAATGACAGTCCCAAAGGGTGCAGAATAGCAGTGCCAACACAATTGCTTATAAAGTTTGCCAGGAAACCAGATGCTGCTAAAAGACTGCCTTTGACAATGTCGTCTTTTTTCCATCTGAGGCATCCTGAATGCTGAGTGAGAGAAGTGGCCTAGCAGCAAAATGCTTTGGGGCAAATAATAGCACATGGTGTTGACTTCAGAGTAAAACTTAAGAGGAAGCATTTAGGGATGGCAAAGCACCTGCAGTTATAAACATATTCTGTCCTCCCTCTTTACCTTTCAGGACTACTTACTCACCTTTAGTTTGATGAAGTGTCTCTCGTGTTGACCATTTTAATTGTCCAGCTGAAGCAAATACTATTCTAAGCTCTTGGAAGTGGGGTAGAAGCTGGCATGTGGTCAAAGGAACCACATGTGGTCCAGGGCAGACTAAATGTGGGTAAGAAATTGGAAGTGGGAAACAAGACTGCCTGCTTATGGATCCTTTCCTATATGGATGAGGTCACCTTTGCACCAGTGTTAACCATGGTAAAAACAAACCCAAATTTCTGTAGCAACAAAGTGGAAGATCCATTTTGCAGACTCTGTTTAAAAAGGAATCTGTTCTTGCTATGTGTCATCAAGTCATCTCTGATTTACGGCAACCCTATGAATCAAAGCCTTCCAAAATGTCCTATTTATTTATGTATTGGTTTGATATCCCACTTTTTCCAACAAATTCAGAGTGGCTTACATCATTCTCCTCCTGTAGCTCTCAATCTTATCCCGACAACAACAACCCTGTGAGGTAGGTTAGGCTGAGAGTCTGTGACTGGCCCAAAGTCACCCTGTTGACTCCATGGCTGAGCAGGGACTAGAACTTAGTTTGCCTGAGTCCGCAACCCGCATGCTTAACCCCTACATGATACTGCTTCTTCTATCTGTGACAGCCTTTCTGAGCTCTTATAAATTCAAGGCTGTGGCCTCCTTTATGAAGTCAATCTGGAAGGAATCTGGCTGGCATTAACTGGGTGTGCGGGCTAGAGTGTCTCACAATAGAGGGGACTAGAAGGAGAGCATGTGACCCATTCCAGATTCTTAAGCATGGTTAGAAATTGGGAGTATTGGTTCTGTATCTATGCATTTTTATGTCTGGGATTGAAAGGAGAGATAAGAAAAGACATCCACTGTACTGCTTTTCATCCTTCAGATTTTGGTCTAATACAATCTAACTCATAGAGAAGAAATGGAAAGTAACTCACGTTTAGTAACTCAACCTTCATTTATCCACCTTAGTACTGTTTTATTTCTCCACTTGACAGATGGGTCATCTGTATATTCAGTAAGAAATCCGCAGACATTTCAGCACTACCAAGCTTGCATTATACAATTATCTGGGAGATGTATGGTTCTGCATGTCCTGTTTGTAGATGAATCTGTTGCCTAAATACTAGAATAGGGTATTTAGTGGGATGTAAGGGCTTGGTCTTACTTGCGCCAGTTTGGAGAAGGTGAGAAACAGGACTCATCTGTGCAGTTATTTCTAACATTTCCCTAATCTCCATGCAAGCAATGGGAGATTGCCTCACAGCCTTTTAATGTCCAGAAGGGTAGAGGAAGAAGCAGGAATTGTATCACACAAGCACAGGAATTTGTTGGTTTAGAATTCAGTAACTTGAAAATATCTTCCACGTCGGTTCTCTATTTTATTTTTAAAGTGACAAAGGCTGTCCTGAAAGAATACGAGCAACACCAAGTGTACTCTAAAAGCCAGAATGAAGCCTGAGTAGGACTTCTGGTGGTGAGGGTTTGAAACTTTGATAATTAGTTCTTTTTCCCTTGCACATGAGTAGCAGAAATTCAGTAGACTGTGCAACATGAATATGTTCAAATTTGCTTTGCTCTCGCATAGGCTTTAATTTCTTCCATTTTCATGCAGATGCCACACAGATCCGCCAATGGATTTATAAAACATATGTAGGATTCGGCAGAAGAGTTCACCAAGTGAAACAGAAGATACTATTAAGCTTTAAAGCTATAATGTGCTACTAGAACAGCTGTGTGACTGTCATTGCAACATTCATGCAAAATAATTAAAAAACATTTTAACATTTAATCTGGAAGATGGACTCTTTGGATATAACCTCAGCTTGTTTTGAATAAACTAGCAAGAGTATCTTTATAGGCAAATCTGTTTTCCTGCACATGGTTTACACGAGATATTCTGCTAAAAAACATTGTAATATTTAATTAAAATGTTAAAATATTTAATTACTTTAACCCTCGGGGATATTATAATATTGTAACTGCAGTTAAGAGACCAAAAAGTAATTTGTTTTGCAAGTCATGCTGACTCCATTAGCAAGAGCATCAGCATTTTGCCCTGTTTTATTGTATGAAAACTGATTGACTGCAACATTACTGCAATAGAGCAATATAAAAAGTTAATATATGTTCCCATATATCAAACTAATGTAATTATTAGCGGGGAAAGCTCTTAAAGTATTGATAGTTAGCCCTTCCCCACAACTCCTAGCATCAAAAAAAGATATTCATTTCTTTCTGGATATTTACTTGATGGTGCTTTTTTGTTTTACTTAATATAAAATAATTGCCCTTAATATGATGGCTTGCACTTGCATCCAATCCCACTTTGTACTGATAAAATGCATAAAGTGATATGGAGAATAAAGCAACTAGATAATAACCTGTTATGGGTGGCAAATTTGATGTTTCTTTCAGAATGATTAAAATAATTTAATCTGAAAATAACTCAGAATAGGTTGGTCTGTTTGAGATACATAGCACCAGTGTATGCTGAACATGTTTTACATTTGATTCTTTCATTTTCCCACCCATATGCTTTAGTTTTCAAGGTTTGTTTTTAACTGAATACATCTGTGCCTTCCATATTACATTGCTGTGTTAAAGGTGTTTTGTAATATGTTTTTTTAGAAACTTAGGAATTGTTTTCAGTTGATATTCAGGATTTCCTTAGGAGTTTTTTCTTTCCTTTAACAGAAAGAACTGTGCAACATGATACTTGATTGTTGTGCTCAACAGAGAACATATGAAAAATTCTTTGGTTTATTGGCTGGGGTAAGTTGCTTTCTTCAGAGATAAAACCTGCATGACCTGCTCTTTCTTCATCTTGTTAATGCACTTAGAATTCTCTATGACTTGGATGCAGAGGTCCCTGTCACTGAAAGAGAGCCATGTTGAATACTTGTATGGGGATCACTGATTTCCCCCACCCGGTTGCATTTTTATGTGCACGTTAACCTTCTCACCTCACCTACTGTCTTCCTTGGGTACCCAGGAATCTTTGATTCCAAGCCAGAATCTGAAAAGTAAGCCCTCTGCACTCTTTTTATTATTTATCTATTTAGTACACATCATGTTTTTTTTTAAAATGTGTTTTTCTTAATTGTGTCCCTCCATTTTAGCGTTTCTGTATGTTGAAGAAAGAATATATGGAAGCATTTGAAGGCATTTTCAAAGAGCAGTATGACACGATACACCGGTTAGAAACAAATAAGTTGAGGAATGTTGCAAAGATGTTTGCGCATCTTCTGTATACAGATTCACTTCCGTGGAGTGTAAGTAGAACAAATTTTTATCCCTTGCTTTATGAACCTGTTTTCTGAAAAGGCAAAATCTGTCTTTGCTTGTTTTTTTGCTTTGAAGTACTTAAAATGTAGGCATAATCAGTTAAAACAATCATCTTCCGAGTGCAACTTTAATTTTGGCACTGCCCTAGTGGACTGCTTCACCTCGGGGCAGAAACATTCAGATAAACCATTGAGAATCAGGACTTGATAGTTACATGAACTGAAAATGTCAACACTTTGCAATGATGGCTGCGAAGTTACCCCACACTTGCATGAATTTGTCGCATTTCAAGGAAAATAGTACTTTGGGAACAGGTGGTAAATTGGATTCTTTGAAAGGAAAAATTGATTTTGACCTTGTGCTTCAATTTGTAGGTCCTTGAATGCATAACCCTAAGTGAAGAAACAACAACTTCTTCCAGTAGGATTTTTGTTAAAATATTCTTCCAAGAACTTAGTGAATACATGGGACTTCCTAATCTTAATGCCAGGTTGAAGGATGAGTAAGTAGATGTTTCACATTGTAAATTATTCTGGTGGTGCCTTTTATATGAGTGATTTTATGTATAAGTGTTTGACCTTATTGTTAACACTGACATTACAATTACAGTTCGGTTCTGAGAGTGTTTTTAGTCTTAACATTTGGTTGTATCCAATGTTAGTGCTACTTAGAGTAGACCCATTAAAATTTATGAAACATAAATTAGACTGACACTGGATATAATCTGTTGTTATTGCCCTACCATGGGAGTCTATTCAACTGAAGCGTATCAGAATATGGTTTTAGATGGAACACTATTTTCTCATATAAAATACCATGTTAGTAAGAATAATAGTTCTGAAGCCAAAGTTTGTAGTTACCTTAACCTGGATCTAAAGTCCCCGTAAGTAGGAATCCCTTCATGGGGTGTTCTGCTGGCAGAAGCCAGAGTGGGGAATGCTGCCCAGTGGCCAACATTCCCTTCCCGGGCAAGGTGCTTGAGTGGGTGGTGGCGGAACAGCTCCAGGCACTCTGGAATAAAACTGATTTTCTACATCCATTTCAGTCATGCTTCAAACCTGATTTTGGAATGGACACTGCCTTGTTCGCTCTGTGGGGTGACCTTTGCCAGGAGAAAGACAAAGGGAGTGCAATCCTGTTGATTCCCCTGGACCTCTCAGCAGCTTTTGATACCATCCCCCATGGTATCCTTCTGGAGAGGCTTGAGGGCAAGGCACTTGACCAGCCATTTCCAGAAGGTGGTGCGAGGGTTATTGCTCTGTGCCATGGCACAGAGCCATGGAGTGCCACAGGACCCTATTTATCCCCTATGCTATTTAATATCTACATGAAACCACTGGGGGAGGTTATCCAGAGGTATGGGCCAAGGTGTCACCAATATGCAGATGACACTCAGCTCTACCCCTCTTTTTATTCAAACCCAAGGGAGGCCATGGCTGCTTTGAATCAGTGTCTGAGTATGGTGATGGCCTGGATGAGGGCCAAAAAATGGAGACTCAGTCCAGCAAGACAAGGTGCTGCTAGTGGGTGGTTCGTCTTCCAGTCGGGTGATATCCAACCAGTTCTGGGTGGGGCTGCATGCCCCTCAAGGACAGGGTTATAGATTGGGGCTGCTCCTGGGCCCCCACTCACTTGAGGCATAGGTGGCACAGAGCACCTTTTTATCAGCTTAAACTGATAGGCCAGCTCTGACCCTGTCTGAACAGGCGGAGCCTTGCTGCAATTATCCACGCTCTGGTATTCTCTCGTTTGGATTACTGCAATGTGCTGTACCTGGGGCTACCTTTGAAAATGATCCAGAAATTTCAGCGGATCCAAAAACAGACCAGCAAGACTGTTAATGGGGCCTGGCTCATGAGAACACATTACGCCAGTCCTCTGCTAGTTATACTGGCTGCCAGTTGAAGTTTGGGCCTGATTCAAAGGGCTAGTACTAACTTTCAAAGCACTGAGTGGCTTGGAGCCAGGCTATCTGAAGAATCATCTCCTGCCATATATATCTACCTGGAGACTGAGGTCATTTTGAGGGGTCCTTCTCTGGGAACCCCCTCCAAAGGAAGTGAGGTGGTTGCTACTAGGAGGAGGGCTTTTTCAGTCGTGTCACCCAGGTTTTCAAATGAACTCTCTAAAGGGGTGCACCTGGTGCCTGCGTTGTCTGCTTTTCAGTGGCAGGTGACTAAGATGGCATTTCCCAGCATACTTTCCCAGCATTTTACCCATCTAACTTTTTAACTTTGTTTTTATGTACCCCATTTTATTACTGTTCCAGTGCTGTGCTTCTGTGTTAAATAATAGCAGTTGCAGTTATGCTTTTGTTCTTTCAATTTTATTGTCATGTGTGTGTGTTAAAAATTTGTTGAATTGTAACTTTGTTAACTACCCAGGGAGCCTCGTCTATTGGGCTGGTATATAATTAAATAAATAAAGGCTAAATCAGTGAAAATCACCCCCCCCCCTTTCTTCCAGTGGGAGCCTCAAGTGGATTGTACTTTCTTTTAGTGAAAGGGCAGTTCACAATCCAACATGCTGACCTACCTGGTTGCAAAGTCACAATAAATCACCATAGATTAATTAACTTTCAGGGATCCAAAATGTGCAACGATCACATGCAAGCCAGGAAGGGAGGGGCTGGCTTGTCACGTTGTGCAAACCTGCATGTTGTTTGAAGGTTAAGCAACCCTTGAAAAAGCCTAACAGTCTACTGTGTTTGATGATGTTCTTCTCATAGCATGTACTGGGCTTGGGTGACACAATCAAAAGAAGCCATTGTTGTGAGTTGTACATCTGCCACTGGTATGACTTGCACAATTGTGGCATGGCCATGGTATATCATGATGCTGAACCAAGCTGCAGCTGGTCCTGATTCTGCAAATCTTGGTTAGCACATGCAACAGTGTCTAAGACACTGTGGCATGTTTTGATTGTGCAAACTGGATCACATAACACAGCTAGGCTGACTATATAGATTTAGTATTTCTTGGTCATGTACTGTTGAAAGGTGAGTTGTTGTATTGTGTGAATCGAGCCACGCTAACAAATCATTGTTTGTTAACTATGAACAACCCCTGAGGAGAATCCATTGTCTGTTGTTGCATGATGAACAGTGAGATGTTCATGGTTTGCAAACTGCAATTTGTTAGTGTGACTGACAAGGTTCACACAGCACAATAAGCTGGGGTGGTTTAAAAGCTAGGGTGGTTTGTTAACCATGCTGGCAGTGTTCAGACAACATCATAAGCCACCCCTGCCTTATAAGCCACTATGGCTTTTCATGCAGTGTCTAGCAACCTTGAGTATGGGTTGTTGTGTTGCATGAACCCAGTATGTATGTATGTATTTAAAACTTTTGTATGCCGTCACCACATACCTTGGCATCTCAGGAAGGCTTACAATATATACAATTAAAAACAATAAAATAATCTTTATAAATAACAAATTCAATAAATGATTACATAAGAACAAAAAACCAAAAGCAAAAAATTGACTGTTCAGTGATAAAATATCAATTTTTAAAATGGCCATTAAATAAAAAGGTTTTAACCTGGCACCAAAAAGAATATAGACTTGGCACCAGGTGCACCCCTCCAGGGAGCACATTCCATAATCTGGGAGAGAGAAGGCCCTGCTCCAGGTAGTTGTTCTTTTTATCTCCTTTAAAGAGGGCTCCCGGAGCAGAGCCTCTCCCGCAGATCTTAAGGGGTGTGAGGGCATGTAAGGGAAGAGGCGCTCCTTCAGGTATCCTGGTCCCAAGCCATTCAGGGCCTTATAGGTTAAAACCAGCACCTTGAATTGGGCCCGGGCTTCAAGTGGAAACCAGTGTAGCTGGTAGAGGACCGGCGTTATATGAGAATAACAACTGGTCCCTGTCATCAGCCTGGCAGCTCTGTTCTGTACCAGCTGAACAGTGTATTGGCCCTCATCCAGCCCATTACCTTGGCCAGGCACTGGTTCAGCACAGCCACCGCCTCACCTGGAGTAGATGTAAATGAGAGGTAGAGCTGGGTGTCATCCGCATACCGGTGGCATCGCAACCCAAACCTAATGACCTCTCCCAGCAGTTTCATGTAGATGTTGAAAAGCATGGGGGACAAAATAGAGCCCTGTGGAACCCATGGCACAACTGCCATGGCGCAGAGCTATAGTCCCCCAGCACTACCTTCTGGAGTTGGTCAGCCAGGTAGGAGTGGAACCACTGCCAAGCAGAGCCTCCTACTCCTAACCCAGCCAGCCTATCCAGGAGGATACCATGGTCAATGGTATCAAAAGCCACAGAGGCCCAGGAGAAGCAACAGGGACACACTCCCCCTGTCCCTCTCCCTGCACAGGTCATCGTACAGGGCGACCAAGGCAGATTCAGTGCCATAACCAGGTCTGAAGCTGGACTAAAATGGGTCCAGATAATCCGTTTCATCCAAGAGTGCCTGGAGTTGTCCTGCCACCACATGTTCTAACACCTTGCCCAGAAATGGGATGTTGGCCACTGGTCTAAAATTGGCGGCCACCTCTGGGTCCAGGGATGCCTTCTTCAGAATAGACCAGATCACTGCCTCCTTCAAAGGGGTAGGGGCCCAGCCCTCCCTCAGTGAGGCATTGACAACCTCCCAGACCCAGGGACTAATCCTGTAACTGACTTCTTTAAGTAGCCAAGAGGGGCAGGGGTCCAAGAGACAGATGGTGGGACATACCATTCCGAGCACCTTGTCCACATTATCAGGCTGCAATAACTGAAATTCATCCAACAATGCTGGACCAGACGGCTCTCTGGACACCTCCCATACTGGATTCAAATCAACTGTGGAGTCTAGATCGTGGCAAATCTGAGCGATTTTTCCCCTAAAATGCTGGGCAAAGTCATCACAGTAGCTGCCAAAGGTGCGACCACTTCCTTCTCCTGGCCAGAATGTATCAGGCCTCACCCCACTCGGAAAAGCTCCACTGGACGGCACTGTGAGGAAGCAATGGAATTCTTCATTGGAATTAGGTTGTGGCATTCTTTGTTGTTGTTGTTGTTGTTGTTGTTATTATTATTAATTATATTTCTATACCACCCATATAGCCGAAGCTCTCTGGGTGGTTCACAACATTGAAGTCCCCCATCCAGATTCCAACCAGGCCTGATGCTGCTTAGTTTCCAAGATGAGGCGTGATCAGGCCCTTCAAGCTACATGGAAGCTGTGCATGCGCAAAGAGGAAATGCCTCATCTGAAATACAGGGTTCACCCCAAACCCCAATACCAACCCAGGATCAAACCACAAGTTTTACCAGCCATTAACACATCTAAAGTTATCTTGTCTAGATTTCTGACTTACTCTTTTCCATGACCAGACGGTGAATAAGCACTGACACAGCAGGATTTCCTATTAGCCTCATCTTTAATTTACATCATGAATGCTGATATTTACCACTACGTAAAAAAAAATTATGTTAAATTAACAGTTATAAATTGTGATGAACCTATCCGTCTTGTAGGCAGTTGCTGCTGCATTCGTCTCAGAAAATGTGATACTAAATATATAAGAAGCCATCATTTATTCATCTATTGGTGTAGAAATTAGAAGTTGCAAAATAATTTTCACTTAGGCAGAATGGGTAGGTATCAAAGTGATGCATCTTGTATTTTTGACCACTGCTGCTAAGACCTGGATAATAAGTGAGTTTCATTGAATGTAGCTGCAGATTCTTAAAATCATGTTTAGGGTTGGATCCAACATTGTGTGAGCAGATATTCCCTTCTGCAGCAGAACTTTCCTGTCCTTTCCTCTTCCTGCAAGCCCCCAAATCTGCCTGGAGGTTTCATCAAGTGTCCAGAGTAGATCTGAGGATTTCTGCTGAAGGGAGAGCTACTCATCCCACCAGGAGTTTCTCTCCTACTGGCAGAGCTGCACCATTGGATCCAACCCTCAGGCTACTTCTGGATCCCGCGCCATTTATCTGGTGAAACAGGTGTCCAAGAGGACCCATCCTCTCTCCTTGGCTGAGTCTGAAGAGGAGGAAGGAGTTTAAGGACCACGCAAAGAAGCTTATCCATCCATCTTTGGTTCTGCTTCTGTCACCACTCCGTGAGTCTTCTGTACCAGTTATGCCCTCTCATCCAGTATTGGAGCCAGCTCTGGCTCCCTCAGCCTCTGTACAGGAAACCAGAGACCGCTCTCCTCTTGCCTGTTTTCTACTGCCATTATGACAGCATGTGAGATCTCTGGGATCTCCAAATTCAAACATGAACATGATTCTTCATGCTCCCCTTTCACAAACTAGGATGGGCACCCTGGTTGGTGCCTCTGCATAAGTCCTAGTGGGATGACTGGAAAGAAGCTTGGGGTTATGTTCTTCACTTGGCCTGTACTGGCTATCAGTTGCTAGGGCCTTCAGGATGCCATGTAATCACATGGGGTGCCATTTCTAAATGTTCTGAAGTGGACTTTTTTGGCAATCAGCTCTGCCTTTGCTACAACCTGGTGCCAATAGACAGAGTAATTTTCAGCTCCCTTCTCCTTCAGCCCAGAGAACTTCTGTGAGGACTAACAGCTGTCCTCTTTCATGTTCTTCACTGCTGCCTTTGGTCCCAAGATCTAATCAAGGGGAGAGATTTGAAGAGTCCCCACATTCAGCTGGACACAGCTTCTTACTCCTTTGTGGTACCATTTCTCCCTACACCAGATAGCATCTTTGGAACAAAGGGTGCAATTTGGCTCTCAGAAGACATAGATCATTTTGCTGACAGGGTTCTCCATATGGCTTCCAGATGACAATGCCTTCCCCCCAGGAATCATCAAGATGGGAAAAGAGGGGATCCTGCCTCCAAGCAACATCTTTGATTTCCCCATCATTTTCATGTTCCTGCCTGTCAGTCCCACTTATGAATCTAGCCTGTCTTTGTTTCTTCCAATGTAGGCCTCAATTGTAACAGATTCCTAGATTTTATCTGTTATTCAATGAAGTTACTGGATTGATTTTGATGTCCATCTTCTCTCTTTGGGTATTACCCCAACAGTGCTCTGGAACTAGGACCTTTATTACCTCCAAAAAAATCAGAATGGCCACTTTGCCCATGGCTACTGTAGACCTATGATAGCTCTCATGGAAGGTGGCCTTCTTAACCACTATAACTTTAGCTTGTCAGTACACTGAAGTCTGTGCTTTGTGAATGGATTCCTCATATCTGACTTTTCACACAGAGAAGAATATACTCTGTCTGGATATATCTTTCTTCCCTAAAATGGTATCTTACCTTCAGCTCAGTCAAAATGTCTTGCCTGCCTCCTTCTCTTCACCTGATAGTGAAGAGAACTGTGCTTATCTTTAATTTAACCTGCCCAGGGAGCCATGTGGCTAATGGGGCAAGCTAGAAATTAATTAATTAAAACAGTGTTAGACACACTCTTCCTTTTTAAAATCAAGATCTGAATCTCATTGAAATTGCTGCATTTAAAAAAAAAATCTCTTAATGGGGCACGGAACAAGGGACTGCCAGTTCTTATTCAATGTCTGTCACCTGGGTCAACCAAACTAAACTTTTGACTTAACTGCTTATGGGTCTCCAGCCCAGTGTGCCAATCTAAGTTCAATGCACAAGTATGGTTGCAGCATTAACCACATTTAATGAAGTTATCTCGGTTGCTTGAGTTACGTCAAGTAGCTGCACAACTGAAAACACGCCCTTGGTGTCAACATGACCAATCAGAAGTGCAGGCTAGAGTGGACTGCCCTTTAGGTTGAATACTGTTATTATCCATTCTGCATTAGTAACACTGACCCCTCACCTCTGGTAATTAGCTTGTCAGTCACTGGTATGCATGATCCACAGGGACCATAGAGAAGAAAGACAGGTTGCTTGCCTGTAACAGTAGTTCTTTGAGTGGTCCATCTGTACATTCACACAGCTTGTCCACTGCCCCCACTTTGCTATAATTGTAGAACCGGACAGGCTGCTTAATGTCATAGGTACTGTTGCCTCTCTGTTCTGAAGTTCTCTCTGTTCCAGGCCTCAGTAGGCAGACTTAGTGAACTGAGGGAAGAGGCAGGAAACTGTCAAGGGTGGGGTGGGCGCAGGTTTCCTGGCAAACATTCTTTGGCTATAGAAACTTCCCAAACCAAGGCTCAACATGTACTGCGCCCATATGTGTGAATGCACAGATGACTGACCACTTGGAAGATCCAGTTACAGGGAAGCAATCTGTCTTTTTGCATGCCTGTGTTTGGTTCTTTAGTTAGCTAGTGATCACATAACGCCTGTTCAGTTTAGAAAGAGTTAATATAATAACTAGGCTAATATTAACAAAGTTGGGATTACTGACTATACTAGTAAAGAACAAGATATGGATCCATTATTTTTTGTACTCAAATTTTTAAAGAGATGAGGGTTAATTAAAAATGATTTTGCAAGTTTAATGCCAGGGGCAATTAGTTCTTGGTCTTTAGAGAGCCAGTTGTGTTAAACTTTTGATAGTTTTATGTATTTTCTGTGGGGGAGGTTGCATTCCATAAACTGTATCCATCCAAAGTAGCTGCATGTATTTACTGAAGAAAGTTAACTTCCTTTTTAGTCTGTTAAATAAAGAATTCTTCAATTCAGTAGCTCACAGATTTCAACACCTACAGCAGTTGGGTAAATGCAGCTTCCCGGTTCTGCTTGGCTAGATAGTTTGTCAGGGTTAGAAACATGATGTTTGGGAAGTATAAATAACATCTGGAGTTAAATAGTTCTGTGAAGAATTTGAAACAGTTTGGTGGCTTGGGGATAATTGCTATGTTTGGTTTATAACAGAACTCTGCAGCCGTTCTTTGAAGGATTGCTACCTCGGGATAATCCAAGGAACACCAGATTTGCCATCAATTTCTTCACTTCTATTGGTCTTGGAGGACTAACGTAAGGAAGCCCATTTTGTTATAGGTGAAAAACAGTTCTGGGGTTCTATCACAAGACCAGATCAAATGATAGCTGTCCCTGATCTGGCCTCTGTACCTGGTATGGTACAAACATATACCTGCCTGCCCCTTTTCCTCCATCCCCAGGTGACTGTGCAGGAGCATAACATACAAATAAGGCCTACCCATATGAAATTCAATGCACATACCCCATTTTGTGAAGTTGACTCTCATTCAGCAGAGCAATCTGAGCCTATGTGCATAAGCCCTATTCAGATCATTTGCCCCTGTGCAGACATCTGGAAATGTTGGAAATGTGTTTGCTTAGCCACCCCCCCACCATCTGTGTGGGCCAAATCAAGAGCGGGAATCATGTGATCCAGCCTGCATGTTAATATCATGTTCTAGTATATATATCCACTTTATATGGGGTGGGGGTGTATAGTATATACACTTAGAGAGTCCTCAGAATATAAAATGAATGAATGAATATTATCATCAAGAAATTAACTCTAGGGCAGAGCTATCCCAATAAAGATTGGTTCAGTGATTCCCAGTCAGTTTTACTAGAACAAAAAGTTGGCTGGAGTGAGATATGGCCAAAAGAGGGTAAACTTGACCTTTCTCAAAAGTAATTAAATTTGTAAGTTTATGGCCTGTATTGCATGTATTTAATTAGAGATGAACTGCGTGAACATCTGAAAAACGCTCCCAAAATCATCATGACACAGAAACAAGATGTGGAGTCATCAGATTCATCATCGTCTTCAGAATCTGATTCGTCTGGTTCAGGTGATGATGCCAGCAGCAGCAGTGGTGGCGGCGGCGGTGGCAGCTCCTCCACAGCATCCTCCAGTGGGAGTGAATCATCTTCTGACAGTGAGCACAGCAGTGACTCAGGTATTAAGTTCCCTTTGTAATCCATCTCTTTTATTTATTCTGCATGACCTGATGCACGTGCACTGAGGGAAAATAGTGATGACTATTTCTTCCTGTATTGCTTGCTCTGTGCGTTATTTGAAACCTGCAGGACTCTTCAAAGAATGCAGGCTCAGCCTACAGATGTAATATATCTACATATATGCTTTTCCAGAATATCGGAGCAATTTTACTTAGAGCCATGTACTGTATAATATGCTGTGTTAATACATTGCCATGTGCCATCCAATCACCTCCAACTTGTAGCAACCCTATGAATAACTGCCCCCAGAAGGTCCTGTCCTTGACAGTCCTGTTCAGCTCTTGTAAACTCAGGCTTGTAGCTTCTTTTATGGAACCGATCCATCTCACGCGTGCTCCTTGCCTTCTTTCTGCCTTCACCTTTCCCCAGTATTATTGTTTTCTGCAGTGAGTCTTGCTTTCTCATGATGTGCTCAAGGTATGACAGCCTCAGTTTCATCATTTGTGCTTCCAGGGCAAGCTCTGAAAATCTTACCTTAGTCCTGTTTGCTCTGAGTAAATTTGTTGAGTAATCTACTTTGAAGACAGAACCATCTTGCTTACATCAGTGTGTACATTCTTCACATTGTAGGATGCGAGTTTCTTGCTGCTAGTTTAAATGCTGCTAGGATTCATCACAGAAAAAAGTTGTCAAAACTAGCCTGTTTCAGATGTTGAAAAGCTAAGGCAAAGTTTTTAGGGGACAAATGACTTCCCCAGTGTAAAAAGGGATGGATGTGGTACAGGCCCACTATCAAGGATTCGTTGCATCTAATTGAAACATGGATTATCTTTTTCATGCAGCACAATCCTGTGTGTGTTTATTCAAGAGTAAATTATACTGTGTTCGATCGGGCTTCCTCCCTAGTACAGGTGTTCTTAGGATCGTGGACACAGGGCATTGTCCAGCTGCTGTGTTGATACATTGCTGATGGAGCACTTCTCTAGTGTATGCAGCATACGCTGCTGATGTTCTGCTGGAGGTTACTTCCCCTTGCACTGCATCAGTTGTGTAAGAGGAGCAGCAGTACTGGATACTTCCCAAGTTCCTCTCATTAGCTCCTTGCAGTGGTGAGCTGAAAGGATTTGCTGGTATGCCAAGGAAATGAGATGCACGAGCCGGATTTACTTACGAGGAGAGCTATTTACTGTGCTCAGTGTACAAATCGGCTAGCTTACCAAGTGTTTAGCAGCCAGTTACTTATAACGTGCAGCATGACCTTGGACTCCAAGGCAGGCTTCAATCGGCTGGATCGTAGACGGTCAGAAAAGGCTGCCTGAGAAATGAATGTCCAAAGGTGGGGGGGGGGGGGCGGTTGGGCTACGCATCTAGTTATACACTCTTGGTTGCTAATGCCATGAAGCCTTGCAATCTAAACAACCTGGAAGTTTCGAATCCTAGCAAGTTTGCAGTTCTAGCTAAGCAACCGACTGATAAGCAGATTCCCACAGGCACATAAGCTAGTTAGGTCTGGAAGGCAGGCTTTGTTATGCTCTCTGCTAAGCCAGGCTTGTTTAGCTGAGCCAGAGAATATGGAGGCTTTGCCCATAAAATGGAAGACATCCATGGCCTACGTGCCCACAGTGTATTTGTTCAGAGTTGCTGGCCTGACAACCCCAAACTTAGCCATTCTCTAATCTGTTCTCATACAGTGAAATCACCGAGCACATGATGAAATACATCTTTATTTAATATTGTACTAGTTTGCCAAGCAAATCAAAACATGGCCTCATACTGTGGTTGTACTATATTTGTACTCTAGTTGAAGGGATGAAGTACAGTACTCCTTCCAAGGCACACAGTGCTGAAATGCTGCCCTGATCACGTGAGCTGCAGTGCATGTGTGGCTAAAATGCCAGGGAATCTGGGGACTCCGATCCTTATCGCAGCATCTCCTCCAGCAAGCCTTGCTGGCATAGGAACACATTCTTCATTTTCTCTGCCCTCTTGCCCATCAAACATATAAGACATAGTTCCTCTTGCATTGTGTGTGTGTGTGTGTGTGTGTGTGTGTACACGCACACACAATGTGCTTTCTTGTGCAGAATATATGTGTGATAGTGTAATTAATTAAATGTAATATAATACAGTGCCTTGTCCTTTTTTGACCCAGAATCTTTTTGACAGTATAGTGTATAATAATGTTCATGTTACACTTCTGTTGATTTTTTTCAGCTAGTTTAGTAAGAAATATAATTAACATTAGTGCCTGCTTGTCCACTCTTGGACATGAGTGTTGTGAGAGCAGATGAGAGCTCAGCATGAGCTTTTGCATTTAAGAAACATGCTGATTGAGAATAAATTAGATTCAGTGACAGTCTTAAAAGCAATATCTTCTGATTCACAGGTACAGTCAGTGATAAGAGGCCCAGTATAATTTATTGCAAGTTCGTTTGGTTGTTTGTTTGGTTGTTTTTTGCTGCCTCTTCCTAAACATCGAATGCATTCGTAACGCCAACACGCTAAAAGAAGGCATAATGGAGGAGGGACAGAAGTGGTGTTTCGGTGGAGAGCCAGGTGGTTCTGCATAGACAGCTGAAGCTAGGTCGGAACCGAGGAAGTCATTCCTTGGCAACAAATGAACTGTGTCTGCTGGTATGCGCACAGCTTCCCCCGTCCCCCGCGCTGCCCTGCATGTCCTGTTTGTTTTTAATGTAATGCATCCTATACTAATGTTTTATTCTTTTCCCACAGAGGAGAAAAAAAATCTGTAATAAGTCATTTTGATAGTCTCAGCAGTATGCCGTGATATTGTTGCTTTTTGTACACCACAAGTAGAAGTGTTGCAAAATGGTTGACTGCAGCAATACTTAAACTGCTTGATGGGGGTGAGGCAGTTTCTGTTTGCCATTTCTGTAACCTTTGGGCTGGTTGAGAGTTGGCATTCAGTCGGCGCTTCTTTATTTTCCTCTCACTCTGCCGTAATGGGTATGTCGCAGTATTTCAGAGACGGTTTCTCAGAGTGTTCCCAGCATGGCTGAGCTTGTTTTTTTACCTGTTCCGGCTGATATTCTTTGAACAAGTTGACCTAAGCAGGAGAGGTAGCAGCAGCAGATAATGTCGCTTCCATTTTGGCAGTGCTCAGACTCCGGCTGCTGTGCCCAACAACTCAAGGAGCTCTGCCATAGAAATTTCTCAGCAGTCTAAAGCTGCTGATCTGACTGTATTCAGTAAAAGGGACTGTGGCTTTTTAAGGTTTCTGCAAATGGTGAAGGTTGGGTTCTGTGTTCAATACAAATTACTTAAATTAAGGAAAGCACACGTGGATCCCCTTAGATACAGCATTGCCTCCAAGCCATAGCATACCAAATCACAACAGTGGCCTAACCACTTATGCTTCAAAGTGGGCAGTATGTTACATTTGCACGGCGGTACGAGCCAACCCCCCTTTGTTGTTGTTCAGTCACATAGTCATGCCCGGCTCTTTGGACTACAGTACACTAGGCCCTCCTGTCCTCCACTGCCTCCTGGAATTAACCCCAATTCATGCACATTGTATCAGTGGCACTATCTAACCATCTCATCCTCTGTTCTCCCCTTCTGCTTTTGCCTTCAGTCTTTCCCAGCATCAGGGGCTTTTCCATTGGGTCCTTCCCTCTCATTATGTGGCCAAAGTATTTGAGTTTCAGCTTTAGTATCTGGCCTTCTAAAGAATAGGGTTGGTTTCCTTTAGGATTGACTGATTTGATATCTTTGTAGTCCAAGGGACTCTCCAACATCAGCTTAGCCTTCCTTATGGTCCAACTCTCACAGCCATGCATACCATACATACATACCCCCTGCCCCACTGCAGTGTCTAGAATTAACCCAAAAGTCTCATGACAGAAGGAATTTTGAAAACTAAATTTGGGAAGTGAGAAGCCTGAAAGGGAAGATTGCAAGTAAGGTCATTTTGCTTTACGTTTGTAGTCATTGAAAGCTGCATTTCCTCATATTACAACAGAGGCTTCAGCTGCTGTATTGGGGAGTGTGTTATTCATTTATTTAATGGGAAGAAACAGTTCAGTTTACTGCTATGGGATAAAAGTTGAGTGCATGAGCAGGAAGGCTGCAGTCCATATCTCGGTTGCTATATCTCTGGCTCAGGGATAACAGTTCTGGTTGACCTTGCAGCTTTGTTGCAAAGTTTATAGAAATATGATGCATAATAACTTGGATCCAGATTAATGTGAGGTTGCTACTTACAGAAGGGGGCTTTTCTGGTTCTTTCCCTTTTTGTAGCATTTCTTCCACACCCTCTCTAAAGTCTCTCTAAAGTAAGTTGACCAAACCTTGTGCCTTAACTATCAATTTTAAGGCAGGTTTCATTGCCTCTGAATGCAGATCAGATGATTCTTTGTTACCTAAAGACAGTAAGAAAGATCTGGCCACAACATCTGCAATAGGAAAAAGAAAGATCAGTTTTCAGTGATGTGCTGTCATCTTTTTGTCCCAGCCATGAATTTATTTAGCATATTATTGCCAGCAGTGAAGTAGTGTTATATACCTTAACAGCTCATCTTTAAGTTCAATTTCTGCTTGAACATTCTTAAAATAATAAGTACAAAGAGTACCATCAGTTTAAGGCATGTGTAAATTTGTCGTTGCAACACAGGAGCATCTAAATGTTAGCATCAAGAGCAAAGATGGAAACTTTTTAATGTGGTCTTCAAATGGTTTGTTAAGATTCTTGAGAATTACAGCTTTCATGTTAAATATTTTCCAGAGGGATAGTAGTCATCTTAGTCAGCTGCAACACAGAGTCTTGTGGCACCTTAAAGGCTAATAACTGTGTTATGGCAGAGGGTTCTGTGGACTGCAGTCCACTTAATCAGATGCATGAAATGTTATCTTAAGTTACATGATACCCAGACACACAAACCCCACCCCCAGGGTTGCATTACCTTTCCAGCCCCATGTTATGTTGGCGCTGGGGCTTTGCATGCATGCAGGGCTGCACATCCACAGCCCAGCAATCCGAGGCGGGTGTAGAGAGCTTCTCTTGCTTCCCTCCCAAGTGATCTTGCTACCGACACCTCTGCCTCGAAGCCCCCTCAGGTAACAATGGTGTATTCACAAGTCAAAAGGAGGCTGAATTGCTGCCAGGTGAACCATTTTTACCAGCATTTGATCTAGTGAAGCAGTGCCATCTTTAGGTAGTAAGAGTGCAGAGGGTACTGGTATCACATGGTTTTCTCGGACTGGTTGTCCAAAGAGAGAAGCAATCTCATCCCAACCTGCTTTGGAAAGGGGAGGAAATGAACATCTCCACAGTATAGTATTCAAGCTCTGTGGCTAGAAGAAATGGATAAAGTTGGGTTATTGGTAAATTAGCTTTCTGTGGGTCGGATTCAAAGATCTCACTATATGAGTGGAAGGCACTTTAGCTTGTGCAAGTATGGTGACAATCATCTTTTTTCCCTTTCTGTAACCTTTGTCCTCTTCTCCCACATTTGCTTAAGTGAGTTTGGAAACCCTTGAGAGAGGCTTCCAGGGCCAGGAAATCAGCAGTCCTCCCCTAGTGTAGGATCTTTGAATCCAAGCGAATAGAAGTTGATACGTGAATTAAGGAAGGCAAATACAATAACCTAAAAGCCGGATTTGATGTTTTTGGTCCTTTCAGATGTGAAAAAGAGGAAGTCACAAAAGAAGAAGCTATCAGACAAAAGTGTCAAGAGGAAACATGGAAGCAAACAGAAACAACTTGAAAAGAAAAAAGAAAAGTGGCTGCCCGAGAAGGAAAATGGTGCTGAGAAAAACTTAGAAAGGAATGCAAGGGACTCAAATAGCAGAGTTGAGGCATCACAGAAACACTTTTATGAAAGAGATTATTTTCATGACAGAAACAGCCACTGGAGTGGAAAGGACAGGGAGCAGGAAAGAAATATGCCTTTGGAAAGCAAAAGTAGCCATTCTAAAAAGAAAAGAGCAGAAAGGAGACGGTCCTTTTCAGATGATGAAGGGAGGGACAGACAGCGTGGTAAAGACGAGGAATTCCACAGAAGAAAGGGAAGATCCAAGTCTAGAGAAAGACACTCTAACTATCCCAGTCCCAGGGAGGATGAAAAACACAGCCGATATCCAGACCAGTTTAAAGAGTCAAGAAAAAATGAGGGCAGGAGAAGACAAAGGGGGCATTCCCCACAGAGACACAAGTGACTCTAGGCGTGTTACCTTGTGATGATGATGGGATTTTACAATGTAGTAAACCATTTTTTAAAAGGATCTTTTATACAAAACACTTAAAAACTTCAGTGGACCTTTACTGTTTCCAGTATTCCATCTTTTTATGATCACTGTTAATAGCTGATGCTTTTTGCTTACCTGCTATGTAGAGATGTTTGGAGACAATAAAAAATAAATCTGTTTATTTTGTGAATAAAACAGGGAAAATATTCATTTTATTTGAAATAGTACTGTTTTGCTATTTTTTCTAAATTGTATTTATGCTTTTTAAATGTGTTAGACATTCCTCAGGTTTCATTTGTTGGGTGATTTTGAGATTTCATTGCAGATGTAAAAAAAATCTTGCTTCAGAAATAACAGATCCTCTGCATATATGAATTCTGAAATAAAACAGAACTTATAGTTCATTTTTTCTGTTGATGAATATTGCAAACCACTTGCCTGGAACTTAAAGGTTTTACAGAAATCTTTTATGATGTACTTTGTCATATTTGATAATCTCCTGTTTTCTTGGGGGGGTTTTGAAGATCATAACTAGGGAATAAAGTTTAAAAGGGGGAAAGAAATGAGACTTCAGTTTCATTAGGACTTAGAAAAAAAGCATGAACTCCATAAACAGTGTTAATAATTCATGCTTGGGCTAAGCTGGGCTCTCAGCTGAAAGCAGTTGCAAATAGATGCCAATCAAAAGCTGCTCCATGCACCTGAGAAAAACATTTTTTTTTCTTCAGAGCTTAGAAGCATCCTGCTGAATTGGTGCAAATGCCAGACTCCTTAAGTGAAACAGTTAAAAAACTAAAACTGTTAGAACAGTGTGCCACATGTTGAAAGTAAAATTGGTTAACATCAAGTTGAATAAGGAGTATGGTAACTAAAGATTGCTGGTGGTTCTATGTAAGTTCATTTTATGACTGCAGTGCCACAAAAGAAAGCTCTTCAGGTAGGTTTAGCCTTTTTCAAAAATGATTTATGGCTTAGGAGAAAGTTATAAAAAGGTGGTATGTGTATTTTATGCAGTATTGCTTTACTTTTGCTGAAAACTATTTGTATGTACAATAATGACTACAGTCAACACACTGTATTGGTATTCTAGAATTACTGTCATTCAGAACCTGATATCATCAATAATTTGTTTTCTAACTTTAAGATCACAAACCACTTTTTAATTTTTAATAGCTTTTATTAATGGGGTTAGAATGAATGCTTCAACTATTGCATCAAAACCAGAATTTAAAATACTAGAAAAGCAATAGAGAAGCTTTGCTTGAGCAATTAGCCATATAAATAGTGATACATTGTTCTATAATTTCTCTCAGTAATTGTTTATTTGAATAAAAATATGGTGGATCTGTGGAATTACTTGGGTTGAGCAATACCAGGGAGAAAGAGTACAGAGTGAAGCCACAGTGGAAACAGATGACTGCAAAGATTGGTTTACTTCTATTAAACATAAATGTGAATTTGTACAAAAGAAATTTCCCCCAAATGTAGTATGCTTTTGTTCATTACAGTTTGCATAATTTCAAATCTCTTTCCTTTTAAAATAAAGTCCAGTGTAACTTTTATGAAACATGTTGTGAAAGGAGTTCTTAGGAACCAATTGGATGTGCCCATTCTTTCATAAAAACAACTTTTTAATAGCTTCATCTACCAAAAAATGTGAGTTATATCTCTAAAAAGGAATTTTAATAATTTGCAGCTGCCACAGGAAGTATCTGTTTCTGATATTAAACCAAACAATGCTCATGCTTCTACTCAATTTATAAAACCTACAGTTAATCTCCAGGGCTGGATTTAGGCAACATGACAAACCATGGGATTATTGTTTTACAATATTTGGTCTGTTGTATTGTGTGAACCCAGTTGTGTTATTTCACCATGGTAAAGTTGGTGCTTAGAAATCATGATAAGAAACAATGGTTTGTTCTATGGTTCCTCTGTACCACCACGTTTTGTGTTGTCTCAACCCAGGCTCATGGTTTCCATAGTCATGGGATGCAGCTACCACATAGTTCTCTAGAAACGGCGCCAACTTCAGGAAATGGTTTAGCCATCTAGCCTCTGTGTGTAGACCAGTGAGGAAGAAGCAGTCGACACAGGCAGGAATCTATACACTTTGAGAGTGAATTTCAGGCACAGTGGTAAATGGGATATAAGTTAGCAGTGGGAGGCCTGAGCAACGAGAATGGAAACCATGGGAAAGTAGAAACTACTGGATTTCTGTCATATGATGGTAAAAACCCACAAACCCTTTCCAGCATGCAAGGTTGCTGGTTATGTTTTGTGAATTCAGCCAATAGGCACGAATTTTACAATATGTAAAATTGTCCAGTTAACATAAAATGTAGTTTTTCATGCCAGTTCACAGCAGCAGGTATGCTTCAACTTGGTGGAACTAAACTGACAATAGATAGGTTTTTCAAAGGGAGTACCAGCGATGGATGAAACTTGCTGGAATCTGCCCCTACAAGCATCTGCTGGCTTCCTCTTGTGCTCAGCCTGGCCTTCCAATCATCTGCATCAGCAGCAGCCCAAAAGTCCACCTGTTGCTGGTATGGAAAAGAGGTGCTTCTTGTTTAGCATTTGGAAGGCTGCTTTCCTGGCAGGTGCTTGGTTGCAGGGTGGCAGCCAGGAAAGCGGTCCCCCCACGCCAACCAGTAGCAGCACCCACTCGTGCTCCAGAGCAGCCGCTCCAATGATGGCCAAGAGTGCTCTCTGGACGGGCATCCCATGACCAGCCTTCACAAATACTGCATATGTGTCTCTTCCACACCAGGCTGCTGCTTCTGATGCAGAAAAAAGCTTCCCATTGCACAACCAGGGCTTGGGGAGGGGTGTAGCAGGTGGGCATGCCAGCAGCCATTCCTGCTGACCAGCCTCCTTCCTTGATTGCCCCGGCTGGCTTAATTCCCGGTGAGTGCCCTGTGAGCCCTGGACATGCTTGCCAGGAAATTGGACTTTGGGCTGCTGCAAAGCAGACCAGAGCCAGGGAAGCTGAAATGTGGGAATCTGGCAGCTTTTCCATCCATGATGGATTCTTCGTGCATCCCTAGTGAGTACTGCAGTTTGTGATGATATGATGTAACCAAATCTGCCAGAACAAATCCAGTGAATACACTGAAAGCTATCAAGGAAATATTAAACTACACGTCCCACAATAATGCTGAAATGCTTCTTTGTAGCACGTTCGTAAGTTACAGGTGATTAAAACTTCTAATTCACCTAATTGGTGGACAGTATATAAAAGCAATCAATCAATCAAATGTCTACAAAGGTCAATGGGCTGATTGGGCTTTTGCAAACCAGAAGTTTTGGTTGTTCACTAAAGCAAATTCTTAGCTCTTTATTTTAAAAAAAAATCTCAACTGTTAGACAAAATTCTCAAATTCTTGATTGGATGTCAAATTTAACATGAGTTATGATAACCAAGATCCTAAGCACAGAAAATGCCACCAAAAATACTCTTTTTTTTTTCTCTGCATGTTTGTATGTGTTTATGTATAATCTGCCAGCTGATGGCAACAGTTCTTGCAGCTGACCTATTGGACCCTTGTCCAAGAACCCTTGTCACAATACAGCTGATTGAACTGGCTCTGGAGTTCCCATGAGAGAAACTCTATTCCTTACATTTTCCCATTGGACACAAAAAGTGTTTTCTGTTTCCCACCCCCATTCCCCTGGCACCCCTTGAAGAGCATGGGGAGGGACTACTGAAAAACACTTTGCCCACCCACTCTTCATTTCAGCAGGACACTCAACAGGATCTCTGTCCCTTCTGTTGACAGAAGTGGTACACAGTATCCATCAGATATTCTTTGCAGCACCCCAGTTGTTTGAAGAGACCACTGCAAGTATTCCACACATTCTGAAATCAATCAGATTTAGTCTGCCTTGTGCATAACCAATGCCCGGACTAGGCTAAGAATAGTACTGGCCCATTTCGGCACAGCCAAGTTGAAAAGTATGCCTAGCAGAATTTTTCTTGAGGCATAGATGCACTCATGCCACATCTGTTTTGAAAATAAAATGATCTTATATTTAGCTTAGGATTTTAAATGGTATTTTCCTTAAATAATTTCAAAGTTGGACAAAACTGGACTTAAGATGGTTTTGCTAAAAAGAATTTTAAAAGCCCTATCTTTTACTGCTACAAAAAAGAAAATGTGAGTTTACATGTCTTGATCAATAGAGTCAACAACTGAAAATATTAACCCATTATTTAATCTAGGTTCCTCCAACCTTCTGTAGCACATGAGTGTATGCAGGATTTTAAGAAACTGAGCACGACTGCAGAATGGCTGCTAGGGCTGTGGCCAGTCTCAGAGCTTGGTGCTTCATGAGACCATCTTTTCATAAACAGGAAAATGGGAGAAGCTAAAAGAGAAGACATTTTATAATAATTACTATTATTTACCCAGGCATCTGAGTACCAAACAAACTGAATCAGCAAAATGATTTCAATGATCCCACAGTCCTCTGCTGCAAAACCACCTGTACTATTTCAGAGAAGTTGATCTTGCAAAATCATTCCTAAATTTATTCCACCACATTTATTTTCCCCTGCAAGTCTTCTCTTTAATTCCAAGTGCATTCATTTCCATTCTGCCATGTCAAGGCACCTTCTCATTCTTTATCTGTCTGCTAGCCCATTCAATCCAAATTTCTTTGAGTGAATCTCAACCAGCAACCTCAAGGGCTGGGTTCAAATAACACAAGCCATGACGAGGTTTTTTAAACCATTGTTGGTCTGGTATGTTCTTTGTCGTGGCCTCTGTGCATCACACGTATGGGTACTGCGCCTGTGCAGTGCCTTTGGCCGGAAGATTGATAGCTACGGTTTTTGGCGGGAAGCTCCGCTCCCCCTCCCCCTTGTGGCCTATAAAGAGCAGAGCGTCCGCCATTTTGTTCAGTCTTTGCGACCGCCATTCGCTGTGCCTTGTGCCGCTTTTAACTTACACTTTGGCTGTTCTTGGTTCTCTCCTTATATATTGCCCTTATACTACTTTCCCCTTACTTTGTTTCCCGCTTCTGTGTAGTTTTTCTCTTGTTATTTCTTCTTCGATCTATCAATATATATATATATATATATATATATATATATATATATACACACTTACCCTCTGCACTATCTTTCTTTTTCTTCTTTTCTTCTGCGATGGCGCAGCGAGCGGCTTTCCACAAATGTGCAGACTGTGGGTCAAAAATGGCACCTACTGACCCGCACGACCTATGCCTCCTCTGCCTTGGAGAAGGGCATAGGACAGATAAGTGCGTTCATTGCCTAGCCTTCTCAAAGCAGGCTAGGAAGAACCACGAGAACCGGCTTCAGAGGCTCCTTTGGGATAGGGCTCTGATGCAATCAGACCCGCTCGTCTCTATCCCAAAACCTGGCTCCGCTTCTGTGGCTCCACCCTCATGCCCTTCAGATGAAGGTGCGTCCACTTCAGTGGCCCCCTCTGCTTCACCAAAAAAGAGGCATGAGAAGCGGAAGCATGCCGAAGAGAAGCCGGCAGGCCATAAGAAGGCCAGAAAGGAGAAGGCCTCTAAGCCTCCAAAGAAGGCTAAGTCCACGGACCGTTCCCGACATCGGGACTCGGAGCCGACGGGACCCTCAGTACCGGTGGCGGTTACGATACTGACCCCGCCCGAACTGATCCTTCAGGAGGCCATGCGGGTTACCCCTCAAGGGTCTCCCCAACGTGCAGTTGACCTCCCGCCTGCACCCCTTCCAACTCTATGGGGGTCTATCTCGGATGGGGAAATCCAGGACTCCCCTCCTAGAGCGAGGTCACCGACACCGATGCCCGTGGTGACATTGGAGACAGAAGCTGGCCTGTCCCCACCAGGGAATCGGAGGAGCCGCTTGGTAGAGCAAAGCCCGGAGAGTTGGCGTCGTCCCTACTACCAACTTTGGGGAGACCCGTTCTCTGTGGGGTACTACCCTGCTCCCAGGGCGCGATCCTCACCTCCGCCCCGCAACCAAACACGGTCTGTGGATTCGACGAGGGTGCCACCTCGATCCCCGCAAAGCGGAAGCAGCAGCTCCTTCTCGCCGGCGGAGTCATCATCTTCTGCTCCACCATACTACGGTGCTGATTCGGATGACTCTGAAGTAGACTCAACCTCCCCGGATGTCGTGGTGACATCCCAGGAGCCTGCGTCACCCGATGAGTCCCACGTCTCCTTCGTGGAGCTGATGTCGAGGCTTGTCCAGTCCCTGGACATCGACGCTGCCCAGTGCCCGGGACCGTCAACGGACAAGTTTTACGACGTCGTCCGCGGGGAGCAATCGACCTCCATCGTTCTGCCGCTTATAACTACCCTGCGGCAGGCGATGATGCAGCCCTGGGACCTACCTTCACATCCTCAGCCGACGTCCAGGAGATATGAGTCTATGTACAGGGTCCGGGAAGAAGACATCCCCTTCCTGCTAAAGCACCCAAAACCAAACTCGGCAGTCGTCGAATCCTCGCAAGGCAGAGAGGCGAGAGGACATACGGCACCGAGGGATAAGGAGGGCTGGAAAATAGATTCCCTGGCCAGGCGAGTCTATGCTGCCTCAGGCTTAGG